ATTTAGTCTCTGAGATCATCTTTCCTGCTCCTGCATAAATACTCTGGCAGCCCATAATTTACTGCTCATTCTTAGGTGACAGATGATCTACGTTCCCTAAGTCACAAACACTGTCCAGATGCAAAAATTCGAGCATCCAGTCCTGTGTCAAGGCTTTTTAAAGCTTTGAGCTGAGTTGCCATTAAATCTCCCTTTCTCTCCCTCTACCCTCATTCCCCCGAGCTTGGGTAGGCTTTCAGGTTAGAAGCCTGCAGTCAAGTAAAGGGTAGTGGTTCCTTCCATTTCTCCACCTCATGATTCTAGGCCTCTTCTTTTATCTTGACAGCTGCCTCTGCACCCCCACCAGGTCCAGTGGGACTGGGGGAGACAGGGAGAGGTGACACGTAGGCCAGTTCTCACATGAGCCAGCACTCTTGCTATTGGGTCTGACTCTGGCCTAGCACTTGCCTTTTGTTTTCCCTTGAGATGTCATTTTTTCACTTTCTCTTTCTCCTACTATGCTCTTGACCCTGCAGGATGCTTCCTCTAGTTCTCCATTCTGATGGTCATTAGTGATTCCTTCCTCCCTAGACATAGAGGAATGCACCTCCAGCCTCCTCTAGCTTCCTGCAGGTGGTCTCTTTGGACAGAACCCAAGTTAGTCCCCACACTGGCTCAGTCTGTGTCTCAGGGCCCACAGCTGTTCCAAGGAACACTCCCAATCCCTGTCCTGGGGCTCACGTGTGTCCCAAGGCAAGAGCATTCTTCTGGTTCTGCCTCCAACACCTTTCCTCTTGCCTTTCGCATTCCCACTGGTGGGAGTTCACATCTGACTGGGGTCAATTTTGGCTTTCCCAACAATAAGCTGGGTACCAGGTTCTGAGTCTCTAAGTCTCAGGAAACACTTCTGCTCTCCCCGCCGGCTCACCCTAGTTAGGGAGTTTCCCTCCTCTCAGCACCCTGAGATCAAGAGGGCTTGGCTAACCTGCACCCCTGCCCATCTAGAAATCTCTCCTCTCATCTCTGGCCTCCATTCCCTGACCTTCCTTCCATATATCTTTGGTGGAGCTGAGAAGTCCAAGAAGGGCCCCCAGGTTCTCAAGGCCATCTATTTCACAAACCTTCATAACATGGTTTGGTGCCTCTTTCTGGAATTGCACATCTATTGTGTTTTGTTGCCTGGTGGAAACTTCGGCTTTAAGATCCTATTACACAAGTAGTAAACAAACATGATTCATGGGCCAATCCTTGAACCACAGTCCAGTGGTGTAACATCCGTCTTTACCAAACATTTTGATTTCTGAGGGTGTTATTGTGTAAAAACAACTTGGGGGGACAGCTTTCCTGTCTTATTTAACCCCTGACCAATTATGTCATGTAGCACTTGTTAGCTAGAGATGTAGGCAGACAGAGTTCATACAATAATTTGGAATGAATGAGTGGATTTTTTTTATATGGCGGTTGATGGATCCCAAAGGATCTTGGGCAGTCTTGACCCCTAAGATGTCTTCCAGCTCAAGAATCATGGTGAACCCATGATTTTCTAGCTATACAAGAGGGCAGGAGAGTGGCTTTGCAATACCGAGCTGCTACGAGACAAATTCTCCCAAATTAACTCCCTCACCAGCTGACCACACTAAACCCAGACTTGTCAGGCACCATAATAGCATGTTTTGGTGAGCTTTGAAGGGAGGAGAGGGTGGATGGTTCTATTTTCTGAGGTCAAGATATCCTTACAGGGTTGCTTGAATCCAAAGCGGAGAGAGAAAGAGAGGGAGAAGGAGAAGGGAAATAAATACCAGTGTTGAGTTCCCAGATGTGGCATAGCCAGATCGTGTGTGCTGCTGGCTGGCCCTGACCTTTGTAGTTAGGAGTGTGAGCCAGAAAGGCTGTGTGTTGTAGGGATTTTTTCCTCTTTTTGTTTGTTTGTATAAAACCAGGGAGGGAAATAGTTGAGCAAACTCCAAGAGTTTCTTCTGTTTCACTTCTCAAGAGGCCTGGATCATGGAACAGGAAGGCACTTGCTTGATATTTGCTTAAAGTGGTGACTCTCTGAGCTGATGTCTCTTAGCCTTTTTGAACCTGTAGCCCCTTTTGAGGAGGATAAAACTTTCCCACTTCCTTGAAGAGTCTGATTTTCTCTCCTCGCCTTGCAACTCCTCACCTTCAGAGTCATATGCTTTGTGAGGTCATGGCATTAGAGATGTTACGAAGCTTTACTTTTTATAGTTTCTGTTACAAAAACAATAGGCATGTGGTGGCTTTCCAGACAGATAGGCACGTTTTATAAAATTGGCTGTGCTTTTACATTATACTTTTTCAGGCTAATATATTACCATTTGTACAAAATGTCCTACGATTCCAGTGGAGGCCAAGCATGAACTTCCAAGGGGGCTGTTTCTCCCAACCCTAGATGACTTGATCATGGCTACCGCAGGGGCTCCTCTTCCAATTCTGTTGGATGTCTTTATCCCTGTTAGAATCCATTTTAGGGGGCACCTGGGTAGCTCAGTCTGTTAAATGTCCCAACTCTTTGTTTCTGCTCAGGTCACGATCTCATGGCTTGTGAGATCTAGCCCCACATTGGGCTCTGCACTGACCATGTGGATTCTCTTTCTCTGACCCTACACCACTCATGCTTTCAATCTCTCTCTCAAAATAAATTAATATTAAAAATTTTTAATGTTCATTTATTTATTAAAAACAGTTTTTAATGTTTTTTATTTATTTCTCAGAGAAAAAGAGAGACAGCGTGAGCAGTGGAGGGTCAGAGAGAGAGGGAGACATAGAATCAGAAGTAGGCTCCTGGCTCTGAGCTAACCATTAGCATAGAGCCTGATGCGGGGCTCGAACCCATGAACCATGAGATCATGACCTGAGCCAAAGTCGGATGCTTAACCGACTGAGCCACCCAGGTGCCCCATTGTTTATTTTTGAGAGAGAGAGAGACAGAACTTGAGTGAGAGAAGGGCAGAGAGAGAGAAGGAAACACAGAATCTGAAGCAGGCTCCAGGCTCTGAGCTGTCAGCACAGAGCCTGATGGGGAACCGGAATTTATGAACCACAAGATCATGACCTGAGCTGAAGTTGGACACTTAGCCTACTGAGCCACCCAGGCGCCCCATCTCCTTGAATTCTATAGTTCATCTACATGGAGAACAATTTGTGAGGTTGCAAGGAATATAGCAGAATTCAAAGGTGGTTTATTGATACATTCAGCTACTAATAATGTGAAAGCTTAAACAGCAATAAAAGGTAGTGCCATTGCTTTCTAGATGGGGGAAACTGAGGCTCGGCAGGAATGTGTGGCCTGTTCAGGATTACTCAGCTAGCAGGAGATGGAGCAGACTCCTGCAGACAAAGTGGCTGGTACCAGAGTTCATAAGTCACCTTCCAGTCCATGCAAGCAAGGACAACAAGATAGAGTGGGAAGTAGCATATAGCACAGGCTTGTTGAAAATTACACTTTTGTCACAGTGAGGCGATGAACACAGCCAGTTAGCTGACGGTGGGCTGTTTGTGAATGTGCCGACCATTGTCTGTGAATTTTCATGTGAGTAGGGGCTTTATCGTGGTAGAGGAGGGATCCCAGGAGTGGGTGGCGGTGATGGAGGGACCATAGTCTTTCGTGACACCTTATTGAATTGAATTCCTGTTATTTATCTAAGAGCTGGGCCTGAAGCAAGAGTAAATGTATCAGGGACACTAAGTCTCAGGGTCTTAGGAGAACAAAAGAGAATTAGCATCCACAGTTGTCCTCCCAAAACAGGCTGCCAAGTCTGTAAGTCTGTCTGTCTTTGTTTCTCTCTCTGTTTCTTTCTTTGAGAGACAGAGAGAGAGAGAACTGGGGAGGGGCAGAGAGAGAGGGTACAGAGGATCTGAAGAGGACTCCACACTGACAGCAGAGAGCCTGATGTGGGTCTCGAACTCACGAACTGTGAGAGCATGAGCTAAGCCGAAGGCAGTTGCTTAAGCAACTCAGCCACCCAGGTGCCCCACCCCAGGTTACTGAGTCTTAATGATTCCATGGTTTTTTCCTGAGGAGAGTTGTTAGCTAGGCCCCACATCTGGTCAGACTTAGGCTACAGTTACAGATAATAAACCTGACAATGTCCTCATTTGCTCAGGGCACTCTTGACCTTAAACTTTCCCCCATAAATCACCAGCACACCGTGAGATAATGCCACTTTTTGTATTTTTCCATGGAGTTGGGGGGAAGGAGCAGAAGGGATTTGATAAATCTACCAACCTGGAAATGAAAATTGTTTTGCTTACTTGACACACACCTGTATCACTTACCCACAAGAGGGTGCAGAATAAAACTTTTTCTAAGTTTTGAATTAGGAAGAACATTTGAGAAAAATATAAAAATGCAGACATTCTTGGGGTCCCTGTGTGACTCAGTCAAACATCTGATTTCAGCTCAAGTCATGATCTCACTCTGTGAGTTCGAGCCCCACATCAGGCTCTGCACTCACATCGTGGAGCCTGCTTAGGATTCTCTTTCCTTCTCTCTGTCTCTCTCTCTTTCTCTGCCTTTCCTCAACTCAAACTTTCTTTCAAAATAAATAAACTTTAAAAAAATGTTTTAAAAATGCAGACATTCTTCAGCAGACATTGCTTCCACTTTGGTGGAGGATGAAAGCAATAGTCCGTTCCCCAAAAAGAAATCCTAGTTTAAAAAATACTTGGTTCTCAAAAGCTTGCCATTGCATATTTGCTATATTTATTCCTATTTTGTTTGCAGAAGGTTTTAAAAGTGTATGATGTAATGAAGTAAATAGTGTTTTGTGGTTGAAAATTAAATAGGTCTTTTGTATTTTAGGTCTTGCAAGAATTCCAAGGTGTGGCGAGCCTTGGGAGTGTGTGTGTTTTAACTGGAAGGCAGTGAGGAAGATGAGGGGAAATATTCTAGCTCCTTCCTGAATATAATTACAAGCCGGAATCCCTCAATAATTTTTTGTGTGTCCAGGAACTTGAAATAAAAATAAATAGATTTTTTCCCCAAAAATGTATTGCAGGGCCTTGTTAGCATCTCAGATGGAGCCAACATTTGCCAGAAGCGTTTTTCCTTGTTTTGATGAGCCAGCTTTAAAGGCAACCTTTAATATTACAATTATTCATCATCCCAGCTATGTGGCCCTTTCCAATATGCCAAGGCTAGGTAAGTAATATTTCCTGTTATTATATACATGTATATATTCATTATACATACATGTGTATATCTATGGACCTACATATATATATATATATATATATATATATTTACCTCTTTAATAGCTTTTATAGCAATGGCTTTTCTAGGCCATGCATTGGCAGTGTATTATAATTAGGGAGAGCAGTCACATGGGGTGTGTATCAGCACCTGCATCTTGAAGATGGTAAATCCTGACTCTTTTTGCATTGGAAGCTGGGGACGCCGTATCCTCCTTCTGCTCTGGCAGCCTGTCTGCCCACTACTTCGGACTTTAGTATTGATCATTAGCGGTAACAAGACAGCTGACTTAGGCTGAATCTGGTACACAGATGTGTTTCATTTGGCTCGCGCGATTTTTTTTCCCCCTTTCTGATTGAACTTTTTAAAAATCCAGAGATTTCTCATAAAAGTCAAGAGTTTTACGTCCTTGTAAACTTAGAAGATCTAACAACAGAGGGCCTGCAGCTCCTTTGTGACAGCAATAGTTACAGCTCACCGGAGACTGTCCCCTGTAGATGCCCCCCTTCCCCCTCTCCACAGACTTGCTATGGTCTCCACCACTCCCTGTTAATGTTTGCCAGCCTGATTCACATCAGATACCTGCCCTCAGCTTTAAAGGCCCAGATTGCCAGTACTGAAGACCTCACTGAGACCTAGCAATGGCAAAATTGTCCTTCCTTGACTGACCGTGGGCTCTAGATTAAGCATTATGAGAGGTGGCCTGGTCAAGAGGACAGTAGACGTGGATGGAAAAGACAAGGGCATCACTTAAAGTGCCCATGGATTTGGTCCACAGTCCAGACTATTCAAGATACTGATTCAGAGCAAAGATGCTGTCTTTAGACCTTCCTAATGTGGCTTGTTTTTAAATGTTTATTTATTTATTTTGAGAAAGAGAGAGACAGAGAGCACAAGTAGGGTAGGGGCAGAGGGAGAGGGAGACAGAATCCCAAGCAGGCTCCACACTGTCAGCACAGAGCCCGATGCAGTGTTCAATCTCACTAACCATGAGATTGTGACCTGAGATGAAATCAAGAGTCAGACGCTTAACTGACTGAGCCACCCAGGCACCCACCGTTTGTTTTTAATTGAAGTACAGGTGACATACAAGATTACTTTGGCTGCAGGGTATACACCACAGTGATTCGATAATTATGTAACATTATGCAATGCTCACCAAACAAAGTTAGGGCTTTTTATTTCTTTTTTTTTTTTAATGTTTTATTTATTTTTAGGAGAGAGAGAGACAGCGTGAGCAGGGGAGGGTCAGAGAGAGAGGGAGTCACAGACTGAAACAGGCTCCAGACTCTGAGCCGGCAGTCAGCACAGAGCCCGACGTGGGGCTCGAACCCACGAACCACGAGATCATGACCCAAGCGAAAGTCGGATGCTTAACTTACTAAGCCACCCAGGCGAAAGTTAGGGCTTTTTAAAAAAAATTATTTTTGACAGAGAGAGAGAGAGAGAGAGGGAGAGAATGCATGTGGGGAAGGGTCAGAGAAAGAGAGGGGAAACACAGAGTCTGAAACAGGCTTCAGCACAGAGCCTGTGAGATCACAACCTGAGCCGAAGTCAGATGCCTAACCAACTGAGCTGCCGACTGTTAATGACAGTCTTCTTCATGCTGTACATTCTTTCCCCATAGAATTGATTTTGTAACCTGGAAGTTTGAGGCTCTTGTTTTCCTTTACCCGTTTTGCTCACCTCCATAGCCCCCTCCCCACTGGCAACCACCGGTTTATTCTCTGTATTTATGAGTCTATGTGTGCTTTTTTTTTGTTTGTTCATGTGTTTTGCTTTTTAAATTTCACATGTCAGTGAAATCATATGGTATTTGTCTTTCGCTGACTTATTTCACTTAATATGGTTTTGATAGGCTTAGGGGTACAGAAATCCACACTGGTAGACCATGGGTGACAATTGACTCCTCATATTGTTTAAAGGTAGCTATTGTTGCTTAGGTTTAACAATGATTTGGACTTAAATCAATTTCCATAGGTCGGTCTGAAAAAAGAGATGTGAATGGAAGTATCTGGACCATTACCACGTTTTCCACCACACCCCACATGCCAACTTATTTAGTCGCGTTGGCCATATGTGACTATGACCACATCAACAGAACTGAAAGGGGCCAGGAGGTGAGTGAGGAAGATTCTGAAGGTAAGGATACCTTCATACTGGCCGCAGGTGGTTCATCCATTCTCTCTGCATCCAGGGGTTTTGCCTGCATATCCCATGGTCACCTCCTGGTGGTGCTGACTTTTCCAAGCCCGTTGAAACTCTTAGGGTGGCTTTGCAGATGAACCAAGCAGTTCACCCTTTTGGCTCTGTAGAAAGGCTGCTCTCAACGTATATTCTGAGCCCCCTCTTCCTGGGCTGTTGGCACCTTTCAGAAGACAGGGGAACTGTCCAAGAGTCTGGCACCTGATACAGCCCAGGCATCAACCAACCAGAAGGGACACCAGCTGGGAACAACTGTAATGGCAGACGTGGTGCCTGCAGGTCAGGTATCGCCCCATCTAGAAGAAGCCCTGCTGGGTTCCTCAACTCTGAGACACACGGCCCCTCCCCAGAGTTGTATGAAGTGGGCGTTTTTCACCCGGTTATACCTTCATCACAAAATAATCCTTTAGGAATGGGGCACCCAGGTGGGTCAGTCGGGTGGGCGTCCAACTCTTGATCTCAGCTCAGGTCATGATCTCATGGTTCGTGGGTTCGAGCCCTGAGTAGTTGGGCTCTGTGCTGACAGTGTGGAGCCTGCTTGGGATCCTCTTTCTCTCGCCTCCCTTCTCTGTCCTTCCCCCACTCTCTCCTTTTCTCTCTCTTTTTCAAAATAAATAAACTTAAAAAAATAATACTTTACGAAAAATACGAGGGTTATGCTGACAGTTCTTTACATGCTGGTTCACTGCCTCCTCTGCTGTGTGGAGGGAAGTACGGCCAGTTGCATAGGCCAGGTTCTCGCTTGCCAGATGGACTTTACAGAGCTGAGGAAAATCAAGCCCCCACAGTCCCATCTGAGACTCTCTCCCGGGCCCACCCCAGATCTTCTAGGCTTGTCCCACTGACTTGTGGAGATAAGGAAGCTGTGGATGAGCCAATTCTGTCGCCAGGGGGAGAATCGCTCAGAGCTGCTCCTCTGAAAGATGAATTAATAAAGCCGTGTTAGATGCAGACTACAGCTTATCTTCCTCAACTGTTGGCTCCAGCCTGGAGAATCGCTAGTAGATCCTTGACTTCCGCAGACAGAACACAGGCCAAGTCAAACATTTAGGACATCTACCAATAAATCTCGGGCAAGATTTAGTTTAAAAAAATTTTTTTTTAATGTTTCTTTTTTTGAGAGAGAGAGACAGTGTGAGCAGGGTAGGAGCAGAGAGAGAGGGAGACCCAGAATCCAAAGCAGGCTCCAGGCTCTGAACTGTCTGCATAGAGCCTGATGGGGGACTCAAACTCACAAGCTGTGATGTCATGGCCTGAGCCAAAGTGGCACACTTAACCAACTAAGCTACCCAGGTGACCCCTCAGGCACAATTTAGAAGCCCATGCTTTGGGCCTGGCATGAAGGAGCAGAGCCCTGGAGCTAATGAGTGACCCAAGGGGGCACGTCAGCATCCCCATCTCAAGTGATTGTTGATCTCAATGCGGTTATACAGCAACCGCGTCTTATAAAAAAACCGCGTCTTTATAAAAAGGTCAGATCTGTTTCTTGGTGAAAGACAGCCCTGCAAAGAAAACCAGCTGCCTTTGGAGGCAGAGACGAAGTGGAACATGCCTGAGAAAGTCATGTTCTTAGCCAGAGAATTGAAATTTGGGATGAGTTTATCAGCGGAATGCTGCATTTGGCTGTGGCTCAGCTCTGCAAAGGGAAGGAGTCTGCCATATTCTCAGCGGAGCCAGAATGTGCTCTTGGAATAGCGTCCAGAGTATATGTGGAAAAGTTGCTTATTAACTAAGAGATAGAAATTTAGTAAAATTGAAGATGTGGTTAATCCTTCACATGAGGATAAATGTGGAAACGTGTAAGTAAGGTTGGTATGTATGTATATATATGTACATATATATATATATTTGTTGTTTATTTTTGAGAGAAAGAGCAAGATCGAGAGAGAGAGAAGGAGAGAGATTATGAGTGGGGGAGGGGCAGAGAGAGAGGGAGACACAGAATCTGAAACAGGCTCCAGGCTCTCAGCTGTCAGCACAGAGCCCGACATGGGGCTCGAACCCAGGAACCGTGAGATCATGACCTGAGCTGAAGTCGGTCGTCCAACCAATTGAGCTCCCAGAAAAATCACATATTTTGAACAGAGCTTAGCACACACAGGCCCGTATAAAGATACTCCTGTCATAGGTGGTGAGCTCTGCTGTGTTCGTGAAGGACCACAGGAACAACACACTGGCGTTCTAGGTGTGGTTTTGAAGGAACTTTGGGGCCGCATCTCCAAAGTGTTCCTCACTGTTTCTTGTTCCTGGCGGCCCTGCTGGGGGCTCCCTGCCCCTTCTCACACAGCTTGCAATCTCCATCACTTGCCTCCTCTTTCGCTTATAGAATGGTAGTTTATGGGAGGAGCTTTGGAAACTGTCAGTGAAACGTACAAAGGTTTGATTATTTTCCAAAAGGTTACAGTGGAAATGCACATGTCTTGAATGTGGGCAGTGGGGACTCTTCTTTCTACCCAGTAGTTTAGGCTTTGGTTCAGCAATCTTCCCCCTGCCTCCGGAGTTAGAAACTGGGGGAGGAGGGGAGAAGGTGGGTAAGTAGAGCACAGGGCAGGGCTGAACCCTGGGGCCTCCTTTCCAGGATAAGGAGGCCACTGCAGCATGGGGGAGGCCGAGGGGAACGAGGTAGGAGGCCTCAAAAACAGGTGGTTGCTTTTTGTGAAACGGGAACATTCCTGAAGACCTCACGTAATGCAACATTCACATAATTCAAGACAAATTTTCCAGCAGAAATAAAAGCAAAGTAAGGTGGATGTGTGCTCGGGCTGCAGCAATCTGCAAATATCGTTGCTCTGCTTTTCATTTTCCTAGCATTCTCTCTAATGCTTTGCAGAGAACCCTTTCTCAGATGGACCGTATGCACATCAGGGAAATTACCCTCATGCTCTCCTTGCTAACTTTTGTAACAAGGTTATTGAGTTTCATACACGGTCTGTAGAATGAATGCTAGCAATTCCATTAAAAAGGGCTCCAGTGGGAGCACCTAGGTGGTTCAGTTGGTTGAGTGACTTCGGCTCAGGTCATGATCTCACAGTTTGGGGGTTTGAGCCCCGCGTCGGGCTCTGTGCTGACAGCTCTGAGCCTGGAGCCTGCTTCAGAATCTGTGTCTCCTTCTCTCTCTGCCTCTCCCCGGCTTGCTCTCTGTCTCTCAAAAATAAATAAATGTAAAAAAAAAGTTTTTAAAATAAAGTGCTCCAGTGGTGGTGTTGTGGGATAGCAAGTGATTTCATATTAAAATAATAACGAATGGTAGAACAAGAGCAAAGTAGCCACCAAAATTGCACACGTAAACTCCCGAGTCCCCAAACAACACCATGATTATATTAAACTAACAAAACATGACAAGGCTTTCTCTTTACCTACTAGAGAGGAAGGGTCATAAACAGAATATCATTCACTTGTTCAACAAATGTAAAATCATAAGACTTTTGGTGAACTTGTTTAAATTAGGGGAATTATTGAAAATGTTGAAAACAAGATCGCACTGTTAATTATCTTAGCCTTGGAAACATCAGCAAACCATTCTAAATTTGCACAATTCAGATGTGTCTCATATGTACCGTATTGCGTAAGCCCGGCTAACTGCACCATTCTGTTTTGGAACACTGGAAATATATCCTAAACAGGGAAGCAGGGGTCTAAGGTGCCCTCTTACTCTAAGATAGAGTCTACATTTTCTGTGGGGGTAGATACCATCCCACCGATTATTTCTGAATTCCAAAAGTTACACAAGCTGTGAAGAAGAAAAAAAAGGAAATAACATTCTTTCCAGAAAACTGCTCACATCTTAGTGACTAGCCGTTTGGACTTTCTCCAGAGCATGTATACCTTTTCAGCTGACCTTTAAGAATATAGATTTGAACTGAGTGGTTCTATAGACACACAGATTTTTAAAAAATTTTTAAGGCTTATTTATTTTTGAAAGAGAGGGAGCAGAGGGAGAGGGAGACACAGAATCTGAAGCAGGCTCCAGGTTCTGAGCTGTCAGCACAAAGCCTAATCCGGGGCTCGAACTCAGGAGCTGTGAGATCATGACCTGACCTGAAATTGGACATTTAACCAAGTGAGCCACACAAGTGCCCTGACTTCCTTATGATTTCTTAAAAACTAGCATTTGCTTTTTCATTTCGCTACCTTACTCTATTGCAAGTTTACAGTATATGATACATTTACAAAATATGCATTAATTGATTGTTTACATTATCTACGGTAAAGGCTTCTGGTCAATGGGAGACTGTTAGCAGTTAAGTTTTGGGGGAGTCAAAAGTTAAAGTTATATGCAGATTTTTGACTGCATGGGGTCGGTGCCCTTAACCTGCATGTTGTTCGTCAGCTGTCAGCATTTCAACCGGTAGCTTCTTCTGGACAGGTAAGTCTCTGACTCTAGAACATCAGGGAACTGGCGCATGCTGGCTGTGTCTTGCCCAAGTTCACTACCGCATTCCCTAATCACTGATTAATTGTTTTTGATTCAGATACGCATCTGGGCCCGGAAAGATGCCATTGCAAATGGAAATGCAGATTTTGCTTTGAATATCACAGGTCCTATCTTCTCTTTTCTGGAAGAGTTATTTAATATTAGTTACCCTCTTCCTAAAACAGGTAAGCCGTCTTCTGTTCCAATGCAATTGATTTTCTATTATTGGGGGCCCTGGGTCAAGGTGAAGGGTACACAGACGAGCCTCCAAGGACCCACTGTCACCATTTAGCTGCTGTTTTGGAGGCAGCCCTGTGAGTGTCCCATCTGTAAGATCTACACCTTCCCGAACACAGAGGAGCCTGTCTGCTATTTCTCTGTACAATGTCATGTGCCTGCAGATGTTCTCAGGATTTAGATTCATTGCCAGCCTCTCCCCCTACAGAAACTGCTCTCTCTCTCTCTTGCATTCTGTCCTTTCCTCTCCCAGTGCAACTGGGAACACTGTTCCGGATCCTTTTAGCAGACCTACAGGAGTTACTCCATTTCCTGTGAATAAGGTTTCTTTCGGTCGGTGGTGGTTTTTGGGGGGTGGGGTTTATCTGTCTGTCTTCTTAATATTCTTTAGCTGTGAGTCACTGAATTAGGACATGGGGGTCCTTTCTGTTGTATAAGCTTGGAATCGCATGTGAACACTAAATGATCCTTGAGGACATATGTAAACATTTTGGTGCTCCTAGGTCTGTACAGATCTGCTCTTATAACTGTGTTGAGCCCCTCGGCTCAGAAAGTTGTCCAGTGTCTTCTCTGTCTCCACTGAGGGTATCGTGTAAATGTATTTTGTTCCTCTGACATGTTCTGGGAAGTCTTGGAAAAAGGGTGCTCTGTCTATACCGGCTGATGGTGGAAGAGAGTAGGAGGTAATTATCCGGGAGCTCAAGCCTCCTGAGCACCTGCAAGCCAGGGGCCTGGGCACTCTGGGGAGTGAACCAGGCTTGGCCTATCAGGGATCCTGGAAGACAGGGATCCTGTCCTTTTGGGAGTTGGAAGCATCAGAAGCCTGGGCTTGGAGACTTCTGTGGCTGGAGGATCTCACGATGACACTTGTCTAGGTGAGAAAAGTTCCATTTGTCTTTATTTATATAAGGAACGGTCCAGAGTTACCCTCCATTCCCTGTTCTGTAAAGCACCTCCTCCACTTAGTTAGTCTCCTGGTTATTATAGCCATCCCCTCCGCCCCATGCCCCCAGCCCTTCCCACCACCATATGCACCTCAGCAGCCCTCGCCTGGCCTCACCCCCTCCACTTGGGCCCCCTCAATTCCGTCTTCCACACTGAGGCATGGTGGATCTTTGCGTAGCAAAATCTGACAGCCATATTACTGTAATATTACATATTGCTGTCCTGTTTAAAACCTCTCTGTGGCTTCCTGATGCCCTGAGGATAAAGTCCAAACTCTGAACCGTGTCTTTACAATAGCACATCTCTGGCCAGACTCTCGGGCTGTTGGCAATTCCTCAGAGTTGGAAAAATGCTCTAGCATCTGCTCCGTCCCCTCCTCCACCTTCCTCTTCTCCTTTCTCTTGGGCTCTTGCACATGGACTTTGTACATCCTGCAATGCGGTTTACCCAACTTGTTAATTCATATGTTTCTCAACTCAGTGCCCCATCCTCCAGGAAGCTTCCCCTGATTCCCTTTTCCTCATGCTTCCACAACATCCTATGTGCCCCTCCATTTAAGCTCTTGACTTAACTAGATCCTGTCTCCCTCATTAGATCAAGAGTAACTTGGGTTCAGGATCCAGCTTGTCTTTGTCATTATGCACACAAAGCCTAACGACACTGCTTCTTCCAAAATGGTAGACAGTAACCTTTTTTTTTTTTTTTTAATGTTTATTTTAAGAGAGAGAGAGAGACAGAATCCGAAGCAGGCTCCAGGCTCTGAGCTGTCAGCACAGAGCCCAACGCAGGGCCCGAACCCATGAACCTTGAGATCATGACCTGAGCCAAAGTCAGATGCTTAACCAACTGAGCTATACAGGCACCCCTGGGTGTTAGAAGATTTGAATGGCAACTTCTAAGTTTTAATTATGCTTTTAACTTTAAACAATAGTGTTCTAACTATATACACTACACAGGCCCACATGATTTGTATTTTTGTACCAATGAAACTCAGGTACAATGTAAATCATGAAGCCGTGAAATAATGATCATAATTAATGAGAATCTACTGAGCAAATACTGGTGCCCTATTACTTTTTTAGGTGCTTTTCGAATGCAAAAGAGGTAGGTGGCTGGTGCTCTCTGTTTAAGTATCTGAGTTGGGGTGATACCTTCAATATGTAGAAACAAAAGCAACAAATCGCCAAGTAAGGGGAAATGTACTGGCTAAGTAAAAGTCTTAGAAGAAAGATGGTTAAGAACCAGTAATGGGAGTGGCCTACATATATAAAGAACAGCTACACGTAAATAAGAAAAATACAGTAGACAAAAATAAAAGATACCTGGATAGATGTTATACAGAAAAAGGAGCACATGGAGCTAATAAGCTAATGAAGAGATAATGAACCTCATTAGTAATCTGAGAAATGAATGTCCAATGCCATGGGTAGGCCCCATTTTATACCTATTCACTTACCAAAAGGAGGCATCTGACAGATGCCAAATGTTAGAAAATGGAAGGGAGTATCAGTTATTACAACATCTTTGAGACGTATTTATTATCTTGCAGTGGTGATCATTAAAATACCTTAAAACCCAGGGGTGCCTGGGTGGCTCAGTCAGACAAGCATCTGACTTGAGCTCAGGTGATGATCTCCCAGTTCTTGAGTTCAAGCCCTGCTTCGGGCTGTGTGCTGACAGCCCAGAGCCTGGAGCCTGCTTCGGATTCTGTGTCTCCCTCTCTTTCCGCATCTTGCCTGCTCACACTCTGTCTTTCTCTCTCTCTTTCAAAAATAAATATACTTTAAATTTTTTTTAATTAAAAGAAAGAATACCTTAAAAGCTAGTAATTCCATTTCTAAACATATCTCCAAGAATTGATCCCTTATGTACCAGAAGATGGGTGCAAGAATGTTCATAGCTACAATTTTTATAATAGCCCCAGACTGAGGGCAACCAAAATGGTCATCGACAGGAGAATGGATAGATAAATTACATTTCATTCACACAATGAAAAACTCTCTAGCATTGAAAGTGAAACTTTTTTTAAAGTTCAAAAAACCCCTAAACATGAGGTGCCTGAGGGGTTCAGTTGGTTAAACATCCTACTCTTGATTTCGGCTCAGGTCATGATCTCCCAGTTTCTGGGATCAAGCCCCTTGTCGGACTCTGCTCTCCTCTCTCTCAAAATATATAAATAAACATTAAAAAGCCCCACAAAACTTGAGGATAGTGATGTAACCTCTGGAAGAATACCAGATTTAACCTCTGAAGAATCAGTTGAGAGGGAGCACAAAGGAAGTTGTAAGTCAGCGGTTCTCAAACTTTAACATGCATTGGAACCACCTGGAAGGCTTGTGGAAATGCAGATTGTTGCTGGTGCCCCAAGAATTTCTGATTCAGTATGTCTGCAGCTGGTCCCAGAAGTTCCATTTCTAATAAGTTCCCAGGTGGTGCTGATGCTGTTGATATGAGTTCTTAGTAATATTCTCAATTAAGGGTTGGTAAACTATCAAATATGGCCCACACTACATTTTTCTGTATGGCCCGTGAACTAAAAGTGGTTTTTACAGTTCTAAATGGTTTTAAAAAATCAAAAGAAGACCGTTTTGTTGACACATGACACTTATATGAAATTCCGATTCCAAGGTCCATAAATAGCCAAAGTTGGACGCTTCAGCAACTGCGCCACCAAGGGGCCCCTGCTTCTTTATTTTTAATGAAAATGGAATTGGAGTTTGAGACTATTCTTTGAATGACCTTTTTTTTTTTTTTTTGGTTTGTTTTAAAAGGTTGCTACTGTATGTAGCAACATGGTCCAGATAACTAAATATTCTTCTGTATTGTCATTTTTATTTTATTTTTTGAGAGAGAGAGGGAGAGAGCATGCACATGCACATGAGTTGGAGAGAGGGACCAAGGGAGAGGGAAAGAGAGAATCTTTTTCTTTTTTTTTTTAATGTCTTTTATTTATTTCTGAGAGAGAGAGAGAGACAGTGTGAGCAGGGGGAGGGTCAGAGAGAGATACACACAGAATCCGAAGCAGCCTCCACGCTCTGGGCTAGCTGTCAACACAGATCCTGATGCGGGGCTTGAACCCACGAACCATGAGATCATTACCTGAGCCGAAGTCGGACTCTCAACAGACTGAGCCACCCAGATGTCCCGGGGAAGAGAGAATCTTAAGCAGGCTCCATGCCCAGCGCAGAGCCTAAAGTAGGGCTCGATCTCAGCAACTCTGAGATCCTGACCTGAGCCTAGGAGTTGGATGCTTAACCGACTGAGCCACCTGGAGCCCCTGTATTGTCATTTCTAAAACATAGAATGCTTGCAAATCGATTTGACAAAATAACTTATTTAATCCTCTGTGGTTAAACATTTGGACTAAGTCTGTCCCCTCCATTTTGAGTTACTTTAAAAACAGTAAAGAAAACATAAGGAATGTTTTCAAATACCCATGCTACTTGCCCTAGTATCAATTCCAAAAGTTGAATGACTTAACCAAAGGGTAGTTTAAATAACTTTAAAAATTGTTTTAACATTTTGCTAGAAAGATTGTAGCAGTTCACACACTTATCAAAAGGCTATATGTCAGTTTTCTTTTACCTAATTATTAATAATACCAATACTCACAGTACTGATTATTATTCTCACACATTTGAAAGATTAAGTTATATCGTTGTTTTAATTTTTGTTTCTGATAATTATTGAAGTTGAATGTTTCAAGTAAGATTTTTGGCTATTTCAATTATTTCTTTAGTGACCTGTTCACATTTTTTAAAAAAATTTTAATTTGTTGGTGTTTTTTTAAATATTAAAAAAAACCATTGTCTAGTTTTTTTGTGATATATGCTGCAGTATTTCTCCCAGTTTGTGGCTTGCCTTTCATATTTTTTTGCAGTGTCTTTTGGTGAACTAAAATATTTCATTTTAACTAGACCATTTTTGGGGCGCCTGGGTGGCTCAGTCGGTTGGGCGTCCGACTTCAGCTCAGGTCATGATCTCACGGTTCGTGGGTTCGAGTCCCGCGTCAGGCTCTGTGCTGACAGCTAGCTCAGAGTCTGGAGGCTGTTTGAGATTCTCTATCTCCCTCTCTCTCTGACCCTCCCCTGCTTATGCTGTCTGTCTGCCTGTCTCTCTCTCTCAGAAATAAATAAAACACTAAAAAAAATTAACTAGATCATTTTTTTAGAGCAGTTGCAGGTTTATAGGAAAATTACACAGAAAGTGTAGAGTTTTCCCATTTACCTCCTCTCCTCCCCACCCCCAGTCTACCCTACTGCAAATATCTTGCACTAGAGTGGCACATTTACAATTGATGAGCCCATATTGATATAGTATCATTAGTTAAAGCCTGTAGGTTACATTAGGTTTCATTCTTGGTGCTGGACATTCTAGGAGTTTGGACAAATGTACAATGACATGTGTCCAAAATTACAGTGTTCTACAGAATAATTTCACTGCCATAAAAATCCCATTCTCCACCTATGCATCCCCCCTCCACCTCCCCAGAGTCCTGATAACCACTCATCTTTTTCCTGTCGCTCTGGTTTTACCTTTTCCATAAGTAAAACCTTGGATTGTGAGTAACTTGTTCTTCTAGTGTTCCTCCAGATGAGCAAACATTTCTCATGCGTTTTAACTCGATAAACGAGCGATGTCTTGCAATACGAGTCGTATGTGATGCCGAATGTCACAGGATCACAGCTGAGCCGATGGTTCTTGAAATTCGCTTCATATACGGGTGCTCTGGATTACCAGCATGTTTCTGGAACAAGTTATGCTTGCAAACCGGGATTTTACTCTATTTGGAATGGTAACGTGTATAGCTTCTCCCTACTGGCTTCTTTTACTTAGCAATCTGCGTGTAAAGTTCCTCTGTGATCTCTCATGGTTGGATAGTTCATTTCTTTTTATTGCTGAATGACACTCCATGGTGTGGATGGATATACTGAAGTTTGTGTATACGTTCACCTGTTGAAATCTGTCTTGGTTGCTTCTGATTTTTCCCAATTACCAATAAATCTCTATAAATATTCATTTGCCAGTTTCTGTGGACTTAAGTCTTCAACGCATGTGGGCGAATAACTTCAGAGCTCAATTGCCAGACGACATGGCCAGCCTTTATTTAGCTTTATAGGAAACCCCCAAACTGTCTCCAAAGTGTCAATACCATTTTGCCTTCCCACAGCAATGAAGGAGAGCTCCTGCTGTCCCATATCTTCTCTAGCGTTTGTCAGTGTGTTTTGGATTTAATCCATCCTAATAGTTGTGTAGGAGCATCTCGTTGTAATTTGCAATTTTTTTATGACACTTGATGTTGGGCATCTTTGAATATGCATATTTCCTTCTCGCCTATCTTATGTAGTGAAGTGTCTCTTAAGATTGATTGTTTGCCAAATTGGAAAAGTTTGTTTTTTTCTGGGGCTGTTTTGAGTCCTCTGTACAGATTCTTTATCAAAAGTATGTGATTTTCAGATGTCAAAGCAATTTGTTTTCTGGATTCTGTCTTTGGTATTCATCTTCCCTCCCCTCAAATTAAAAATATTCACTTGCATTTTCTTTAAGGAATTTTATGATTTCATTTTGAGATACTTTTATCTGGAAATCCCAAACTTTTTGGAAGAGATGATTTCATTTTTCCCTCCATTTAAATCCACTTAGATATAATTGCCTTGCCTACTTTTGACAACAGTGCAATGGAAAATTGGGGACTATTGATATTTGATGAATCATTATTGTTGATGCAACCAAACGATCAAGTAACAGACAAAAAGGCTGTGATCTACTTCATTCTCTCCCACGAGATCGGACATCAGGCATGTGGTAAAATGTTCTTTCTTATTTCACATGCAGGTATTCTCCAGCTGCTCTACCAAGGATACCAAAAACCAAACCAAAACAAAACAAAAAAACTCTATTGTGCATCAGATTTCTTTCATTTATTAATTAATTAATTCATTCATTCATTCAATATTTATTTATTTTGAAATAGAGAGAGAGAAAGCAGGGAAGGAGCAGAGAGAGTAGAGAGAGAGGATCACAAGCAGGCTCCACGCCATAAGCTCAGAGCCAGATGTGGGGCTGGAACCCACGACCCTAAGGTCCTGACAACAGCCGAAATCAAGATTCAGATGCTCAACCTACTGAGCCACCCAGGTGCCCCTATGGTACACCAGATTTTAAAAAATCATTCAAAAAGTAGGACAGTGAAGGAAGGATCTGTGTAATCAGATCTTGCATGGATTTGAACTACTGGTGATGGATCACAGCGATAATACCTTACAGGCCAATCAGAGCTCAGTTATTTACATCCAAAGGTAAACTTGGCTCCACAGAGTCCTGTTCAAGGAAAGAAAGCCGATCAGAGTGGTGATGACTTGTTTTCATTCCATCTTAAAAGAAGGGATATTAAAAAAAGGTCACTGAAAGATATCCACATTTCATCAGTACATTGTTATAAACTTAGTTTTTTGTTTTGTTTTTTGAGGAGGGGTTAAAGGGGTGCTGGCAATATATTAAGGTCAGTGGGATGAGCAGTTATCAATCCTCAAACTCCATGCCCCAAAGCAGTATAAATAAGGAGTTATTTCTTAAGATCTTTGCCTTCACACTGTGATTTTAGAAGCTTAGCTGTGTGTTTGATGGAGGTTCTTACATCTGTTTCTTGACCTTGACTCCGTTAATACCAGTTTGTCAAGAAATAAATGATCTAAGCTATGAAATTGCTATCTTTTTGTTATGTGGATCCATAAGAAGTTTTGGAAAGAGTGATTTACTAGGATAGAATAACTCCTTGTTGTGTAGTCAAAACAAACCTTGACAAGTTTTGATCAGTCCCTCAAAATGTCATTTTTTATGATCGCTCAAGTGCCACATTGTTTTGGAAGACAGGCTGCTAACTATTAGTACCTCACAGCTGTTTGAAGAATTTGATTAAACACTAGGGTACATATTAGTTGCTTTTAGAAATTATTCTGTTGTTCTTTCCCGCTTCTATTCATCGTCCATTTGACACTTTCTGTTAAGCTCAAATAGACAATAATTACAGCTGGACCACTTTGTAGAACACATGAACGATTTGTCTACAGCACAGATCAAAACATGTTCTTAAAACATAATAACTGCTTCCAGAAAAATTCTGGTGTGGTCTATTTAGAGTATATGATGCTGTAATTAGTAGGTGTTAACTGAACATTCTGGACTTCTGCTTTATTTAACTTAATGTAACTTTTGGGGAAGTGAACAGTTGAGGAAATGCTACTCTGGCTTATGTTATCTTTGAACATGACAGTTTTTTTTTAAATGTTTATTTCTGAGAGAGAGAGACTAAGTGTGAGCTGGGGAGGGGCAGAGAGAGAGGGAGACACAGAATCCAAAGCAGGCTCCAGGCTCTGAGCTGCTAGCACAGAGCCCAGCGCAGGGCCTGAACTCAGGAACCATGAGATTATGACGTGAGCCAAAGGGGGACACTCAACTAACTAAGCCACCTAGGTGCCCCTGAACATGACAGTTTTAAAAAAAAATTGCTTTCAATCATTTGGATGTGAAATAATTATTTCAGAGAAATGCATGACTTAAATCTCTTCATGTTAAAGCAACAACCTGCTTTTTGGAGTCTTATTTTCAAGTTTGATTATTGAGGACAAATAAAGTTTAATTGTGTCTTTGACCTTACATCTATTTAATATACAATTACAATAAATATCACTTAAGTTAAATTTAAGAAAACTCTTTTTTCTCCCATCTCCAAAAGTGGTTTGGAAATTTGGTTACCATGAATTGGTGGAATGATATCTGGCTCAAAGAAGGTTTTGCATCTTATTTTGAATTTGGAGTAATTAACTACTTTAATCCTCAATTCCGAAGAGTAAGTATGTCTGTTAAATTTACTTATTTTTTTTCTCCTAATTATAAAGATAATGCATTTCATTAAAGCACTAAAAGATAGTGCTTTTAGAATGGCAGGTTAAAGCTGAATTGATTTTACTTTGCCTTGATATTTAAATGTTTTGAGAACAAACTGAGGACTGATGGGTGTGGGGGGAGAGGGGGGAGATGGGCATGGAGGAGGGCACTTGTGGGGATGAGCACTGGGTGTTATATGGACACCAACTTGACAATAAACTATTTGTAAAAAAAAAAAAAGATCCTGACCTGAGCTGAAGTCAGATGCTCAGCCAATTGAGCCCCCAGGCGCCCCTGCCTTTACCTTTCTGATGCTCAAGGATATTCTTCCTGCTGCTCTTTGCTGGTCTGTCCCTCATCCCATCCTCCCAGTGTTTCCCAGCTTAGTTCGTGGCTTCTTTCCTTCTTTCCCCAACCTCACTCACTATACTGATATTTGAAAGGCTGATTAATCTCCGCTGGCCTGATCTTTATTACAGGCTAAATGTACTCACTTTGAAGGAGATTCAAAGATTATGTTTTTCCTATTACATTGGCAATGCAATTTATCTTTTTTTTTTAAATGAAAGTATGGAGACGGTAGATAGATGATATTTTGGTTTTTTGCTGATTATTTGGCCGAATAAAACATTGTCAAACCTAATTTGGTCCCATGGAAACTTTATTTAAAAATCCTTTTTTTTTTTTAACCTGTTCATGAATTTGCAGTTTGCAGGAAGCACTACTGTAGCAGCCTCTGGTTTTTTTTTTTTTAAGTTTATTTATTTTGAGAGGGAAAGAGAGAACATGGGGGAGGGGCAGACAGGCAGTGAGGAAGAGAATCCCAAGCAGGCTCCACACCCCGGCCTAAGGTAGGGTTCAGCCCCATAAACCGAGAGACCATGATCATGAAGTCAAGAGTCAGATGCCCAACCGACTGAGCTGCCCAGGGACCCCGCAATAGCCTGCTTCCATGCCACCCACTGTACGCTTTGTGGACTTCCAATAAATTGCCCACCACCCCATAGTCCGGCTGCCCTGTGGTGCCCTGCTCAACTTCACCGGCGTTGGCCATCATTACATAGATTAGGAAACTGAAGTGCTAATGATCAAGTGTCTTGTCCAAGTCATTTGCATGATCGAGACAGAAGTGTGATTATAACTCAGTTGTCTGGGTCTAATCTGATGACGAAGGTAATGACAATAATAATGACAATAATATTCCCTTTCCTATACACCGAGCACTTCGGACTTACATCCTAGGTAGTATGAGTTTTGTACACACCTCATCTTACTTATTTCTCAAAACAATCATAGGAGTGTAGTTGTCACTTTATCTATTTTCTGGTTGAGGAAAGAGGCTTAGGAACATTAAGTCATCCAAGGGTTTATGGCTACCATATATCAGAGATGAGATTAGGTCCCAGGTTTCTCTGACTCCAAGTTCATGTCTTCACCCCACTGTGCTCTGCAGAGGAAATACATAGGAGTGCTCCTGGCCTCCAGATGCTAATAGTGTGTGTGTGTGTGTGTGTGTGTGTGTGTTTGTGTGAGTTCATTCTATGACTCTTCATTTACCCAAACTTTATATATGTAAACATCAGTTGTCTTCAAAAACCCTTAGGATATACTCTATACCTATAAAATTGTTTATATCTCTCTTTTATAAGATAGAATCTATGCATGGTTTATGTCTTCTATAACTGTTTATGAAAGCATTTGGTTGTATCCCAAATTAACTCTGCTTGGATTCAATAAGAAAAAAAGTTCTGTTCCTGTGAAACAGATTCACTCTTTATTTTCTTAGTTGAATGGAATATAGCATTGCCATCGATCACTTACCCCTTAATGCAACTGAAATGGCTAAGGTATTATATCTGGAAAAATTTGATGGAAATAAATTACTAGTGTTTTTGAAGTAAATGTGATGAGATTAGCCTCTTTTTGTGCCATTTAGTTACTTCTTTTAATCATTGCTTTTTAAAAAAATTTTGAAAATGTTTGTTTTTGGAGGAGAGAAAGAGAGAGAGAGCATGAGTAGGAGAGTAGCAGAGAAAGAGAGAGGGAGCTGTTAGCACAGAGGCCCAAGCAGGTTTTGAACTTCTGGGCTATGAGACCATGACCTGAGCTGAAGTCAGACACCTAACTGACTGAGCCACCCAGGTACCCCTTAATCATTGCTTTCTTAATACCTCTTTTCTGAATCTGCATTTGTCAGTGTTTGTGAAGCTGCCTGAATATAACCCTGGGCCAAAGAGCATCAGAACCTGGCGCTTGAAGAATCTGCCGTGAGCTTTATTTTTTAAAAGCTTAAAGCCGTATTTCAGCGATCTTTGCGAGATCAAGAACTTTGGCTTCCTTTTAATCTGGCCGTTAAATTGACATTGAGAAAGAGAATCACAGAACCATATGCTGAATCAGATTTCCATTTTTTCTCTCTTGGTCTAATTTCAGCTGAAAGTCATTAAAACATGTTATGAGTGGGCCATGGCCCCAGATTCAGAAAACATCAGGCACCAGTTGGTTTCTTGGTCCCTGAGGCCCCAGCTCTGATGCTGCCACCCACTGACTTTTCTGTCTCTCTTCTTCTGCCCGGCCTAAGGAAGCAGCAGACTTGGCAGGAGGGGAAGAAACATCGGAGTCTTGTAGGCAGTCAGATCTTACTCTGTTTTTGCAATCATTGCAAGCTGACCACCTCTAAGCTTTAGTTCCTCATTTGTAAAGTAAGTTTCGTGCAGTCACGATAACAATAATAATTCGTGCAATAAGTTGTTGAGGATCTACGAGGTGGCATCCTGTCAACTACCATTTACGGAGTGTTGTATCCATTATCTGACCCAATCATCAGCAAACTCTAAGGAAATCATAATAGTGACGTTTATGATAAGTGATTGCAAGTGGCTAACCCTCACTGAACATGTCCTGTTTGCCAGGCACTGTGCTAAGAACTTTATGTAAATGTATTTAGTCTTGATAACAATACAATAAACACAATGTTCTTTCCTCCATTTCTAAATGGAGAAACTGAGTTTCAGAAAGATACAGTTGGGTTGCCTTTTGTGAGTAACACCGTTTCAAAGAGCTGTGTTTTTTCCAGTTTATTTATTTTGAGAGACAAAGCATGAATGGGGAGGGACAGAGAGAGGGAGAAAGGGAATCCCAAGAAAGCTCTGCACTGCCAGCACAGAGCTTGACGCAGGGCTCAAACCCACCAACCATGAGATCGTGACCTGAGCTGAAATCAAGAGTCAGATGGTCAGATGCTTAATCTACTGAGACATCCAGGTACCTCCAAAGCCTGTGCCTTCAACCATGGTGATATTCCATGCACATTTCTTATAATAAATACTGTTGTATTTCTTAGGATAATAATATATTTAATGAGAGTAGATCTTTTTCTTTATAATCTCACAGCTACAGGAAGAAAGTAATGGTGAGTGTACAGACTCACTTTCTCCAATCACTGTATGTAGTGGCTAGATACGCATTTCTAATCTAAAGTCTAACACCACTTTTTGTATAAGTGTTTCCCTCCAGCAGGACTGGAACAGGCTGGAACAAGCTTTAATTTATGGGTGGCCCAGAGGAGAAAAGACCTCAAGGATATTGAGGAAGAGGTGTTTGCCCCATTCATCACTGTTGACTTGTGTTATTACAATGATACCCAGAAGATGATATAAAACCTTACACCAGGCAGGCAGAAGAGGCAATCCATCCAGGGGTCAGTGGTGGGGTTCACAAAATCTGGAAAAGTCTATATATAATGGTGTTCATTAAAACATTATTCATAACAACAGAAAGCTGAATACCACTTCAATGCCTAACTAATAGGGAAATGATGAAGTCAATTATGGTTCATTCATTGACTCAATAATGGGCCATTCTGCAACTATGCATTTATTTTATATATTTATTTTTAATTTTTTTAATGTTTATTTTTGAGAGAGAGAAAGAGAGCGTGAACAGGGGAGGGGCAGAGAGAAAGAGAGACAGAGAATCCGAAGCAGGCTCCAGGCCCCGAGATGTCAGCACAGAGCCCAACATGGGGCTGAAACCCATGAACCCCGAGATCATGACCTGAGCCAAAGTCAGATGCTTAACTGTCTGAGCCACCCAGGTGCCCCTGAATTCACATATGTATCGATCAGATCCACAAGTGATCCTTACTCACATTAAAGTTTGAGCTGCATTGTTCGAAATGACAGGCTGTCTCATTTCTGGAAGAGCAGAGTTTGATAACTGCCAAATCAATGGTGTTAAATGAAAAATAATACGGTACCAGGAGAAGGTTGGTTAGAACATTGTCAAATGGAAGCAGGTAGAATTTGAAGGCGTCAGCTTGGGGCCCCCCAGAGATTATTAGGGGGCTCACTCAGACCCGGATGGTCTGAGCCAGCTGTCTCTCATGTCTCTTTACCGCTACCCTTTCTTCAGCTTTGCCTTCCCACACACTTCTCTGGCTATACCTGGGTTTTCCTTTTATCTCTCCTTCCAAAAAGAAGTGCCCCTTGTCATGTGGCTGAGAGAAGTCTATTTTTTTTTTCAGTGCTCTGTACTTCTCATTAAAATATAGTAAGTTTCCATCTCCTCATGCATGATCCATAAGCTGTACTATCCAGTCTGTGGGCTTATTTCCAATGACAAATTCTGACATCATCACTGGATCTGTAAATCTGGCCTGGTTTTGGTTTGCAAATGTTCACGTAACAGAGACTGATCCATTATAAAATTTTTTTTAATGTTTTTTATTTATTTCTAGGAGAGAGAGAGAGACAGCGTGAGCAGGGGAGGGTCAGAGAGAGAGGGAGTCACAGATTGAAACAGGCTCCAGGCTCTGAGCCGGCAGTCAGCACAGAGCCCGACGCGGGGCTCGAACCCACGAACCGTGAGATCATGACCCAAGTGAAAGTCGGACGCTTAACCGACTAAGCCACCCAGGCGCCCTGAGACTGATCCATTATAAAGGGTTACTAATAAAATTACCAATAAAATTCTAGAGGATTAAAACCACCTAGCAATGGTATTGCCTGCCGGGTCCTGCCTTTATGGCCAGGGACCCACTTTGGGAGCGTGTAGATGGCTCTCCTGGAAAACACATCAACTTTTGTAACAGGTTTGGTGTTTTGGTTTGGGTTTTTTTTTTTCCATTGAAATAAAAAGGGCTACTAAAGGGGAAGACAAGTAGCTTAGAGTTTTGTCATTCAAAGAATCCTAACTTATTTGGCATATAACAGCTCATGGAGCACATCTGACTGTTTTCCCTCCTCTTCAGTGTCAGTTTTTGGAAGTAATTTTGGTAAGTATTTTGAAAGCATTTGAATTTTGTGTTTCTGTGAAACCTAAGATGTTAATGCTGCTCACTCTTTTCCTTTTAGAATGAGATCTTTTTTTCTAACATTTTACATCATGTCCTCAGTGAAGATCACGCCCTGGTGTCTAGAGCTGTGTCCTTGAAGGTGGAAAATTTCACAGAAACCAGTGAAATAAATGAGCTCTTTGACTTATTTACTTACAACAAGGTAAAATCAGTTACCTATTTTCTTTTGCTTTGCACTCTGGCGTTAAGGTGCTTAAAATGGATTCTAAGAATAATAGACTAATAGGATACTAGAAAACTTTTGATACAAATAACCGTAATTTTCTTCAGTGGATGAATTTCAGAAGAGGTGGATAAATCAATTCTCATCTAGCAAATTAATCAAGTCCATATTAGGTGCTCAGTACCATCCATCATTATAAAAACACTGAGACAACTTGCTACTTTTAAGGCGAACCCTTCTGTTTGGTGGAAGTTTATTCTTACCATGTAAATATCTCAGCTTAAAAGATGAAAGAATGAAATCTGGCCATTTGTAGCAACATGCATGGAACTTGAGGGTGTTATGCTGAGTGAAATAAGTCAGGCAGAGAGAACAGATACCATATGTTTGCATGTAAGGGTGGATTAGGAGGAACTTAACGGAGGACCGTAGGGGAGAAGAAGGGGGAAAAATAGTTGGGGAGAGGGAAAGAGGCAAACCATGAGAGACTCTTAAATGCTGAGAACAAACTGAGGGCTGATGGGGGTGGAGGAGAGGGGAAGGGAGGTGATGGGCATGCGGGAGGGGACTTGTTGGGATGGAACTGGGTGTTATATGGAAACCAACCTGACAATAAACTATTTAAGAAAAAAAAACAAAACATGTTATGTATCCTGAATTCTTTTTTTTTTTTTCATTTTTTAATGTTTAATTTTGAGAGAAAGAGGAGGGGAGAGAGAGAGGGAACGAGCAGGGGAGGGGCAGAGAGAGAGGGAGACATAGAATCTGAAACAGGATCCAGTCTCTGAGCTGTCAGCACGAGCCTGATGCGGGGCTTGAGCTCATGAATCGTGCGATCATGACCTGAGCCAAAGTTGGACGCTGAACTGACTGAGCCACCCAGGTGCCCCCTGACTTCTTTATATGTAGGCTATTTGCTCACTTTTTACCTAATAATTAGTGACAGTCTATGATTTTATCAGTGATTTTGGGATAACGTAAACGTTCAACTGAAGTCCACAAAGCAATTGGAAGAAAAGCCCAGAATATTGCTCATCAAAATGGAATGTGTTGGTATTTATATATCGGATTTGTTCAAATGATGGACTCTTTCTTCTGTCTTAGGGAGCATCTTTGGTCCGAATGCTTTCTAGCTTCCTGAATGAGAATTTATTTATCAGTGCACTAAAGGTGAGTTTGCACAATTATTGTTACCCGGCAGGCAGTAGACATAAATCGTTTTGGCATGTTATTTATTTTAACCTTAGCTTTTTCCATTCTTCTGTTGTTTTTTTTTTTTTTTTGACAGTCATACTTGAAGACATTTTCTTACTCAAATGCTGAGCAAGATGATCTATGGAGGCATTTTCAAATGGTAATTGTCTTACTTCCTGACATCTGTGTTGAATGAATGAATGAACGAATGAACGAACGAAGGATTCATTCACATATAGAGTTGAACAGCATTCTGAATTTGGTCCAGCATATCACCCACTGGGAATTACTGCATAGATGAAAAATAGAATAGCCAGGGAGTTTCTTTTAGGAGATCGTTCCCCCAGAAGATTTTGATGGTAATTATCTTCTCTTGTGATGATTTTTTAAAACAGGTTGTCGACAGCCAGAGTAAAATTCTTTTGCCAGCACCAGTAAAAAGCATAATGGACCGTTGGACACACCAGAGTGGTTTTCCAGTCATCACCTTGAATGTATCCACTGGCGCCATGAAACAGGAGCCATTTTATCTTGGAAAGGTTAAAAATCAGACTCTCCTGACCCACAAGTAGGTACATTTGCTCCTCTGTCTTCACGTTCCTTGGGAGGTAGAGGTCTGACCAAATGGAAAACAGCCTGAGGCTGAGGAAGCATATAATTCCAGCTGGGTACACCTTCTTCTGCAGAGGGGCTCTGAGATGGCACCTTCCTGGTCCACACTGAGTGTTGTTTCTGGGGTGCTGGCATGAGGCAGAGCCAGTGATGTGTTGAGCAAGGCCAGAGATCTTTATTGAAGGGTTCAAGGCAGTGCCCCTCCCCTGGCAATTAGGATGACGCCAGCAACCAGTGCTTTGGCGGTTATGTATTTTCTTTGCCCTTTAGACAGAAGGCATGCATTTACTCAGGATTCTGGGTGAGAGACAAGAAGGTAGAACCGTGCACGGCCTCATGTTAATCGGTAGAAAAGAGGATCCTGAAGCACAGCTGTTTTCTTTTCCCTAGAAACAGAACTGTACGATCATGGCTTCCTTGAGAAATCATTCTGCGCGTGTCCACACGTGCGTACGTGTGTATTTATAGCTGTGCCTATAATGTTAGAATTAGGGCCTTTAGATTCCCTGACATCTGGGTTTAAATGTCAACTTCACTGAAATTCAAGCCTTGCGTAGGTCTCATTTCAAAAATCTCTGAGTTTCAGTCCTTAACTATAAAGTAAATGTGACCACATGTATCTCAGAGGACTGTCATTAAAACGAAGTGAAAAAATGAGTATAAGGCAGCTTAGCACTGATCTCTTCTCCTATCCTTGCCTTCCCTTTCTTAACTTGTTAGAGAATGTTCCAAATGTGTTTGATAAGGTTCTGATATTCACATCTCACTGTGGTACGTTATCAGCACACACGAGGGAGTCATTTTCAAATAGCATCACCAAAGAATGGAGCTCACCCTGTTCTTCCTCTAAAACCCCAGGAGAAAGGAACAGAACTGAAGTTCCCTTGTCACTCTGCGAATCTGTGACTTGCTTTTTTTTTTCTTTTAAGTTTTAATTTTAATTCCACTTAGTTAACATCCGGTCTTTTATTAGTTTGAAGCCTGCAATACAGTTATTTCAACACTTCCATCCATCACCCTGTGCTCATCACGACTCCGTGACTTTTGAGAAGATGTGCGCCTTAGTGATTCAACACACACCCTCATTCAGAGTCTTCTGAGAAACCAGACTTGTGAGCGTTTGAGCAAGATTGCAAGTCTTGCCCAAACTCCAAGGAGTGTGACTCTTCAGATGACTAATGTCCTCCTTGTGATCGTCAGCTCCTTTCAGGTCACGTCTACCAACATGGGAAGAATGTCGGCTTTCAGTAAATATGAATAATCTGGCTGGTCTGTGCTGAACAATTTTCAGATGGGGAGAAAGCTTGAGGCAGAAAAGCATTTTGAAATGTTTGTCAAGCTTTTTCTTCTTAAATTACTCTTTGCCTCTCTTGGCACAGATGGATTTGGGTCTGTCTGCAGCATTTGAACAACCCCCAAGTGAGGCAAAGTGGCTGTAATTTAATATAAACAGGCCTTGAGAGTTTCAGATACAAAAAAAAAGTTTCAGATACAAGATAGTCTTAGTAGCTACCTTAAGTTATAAGAAAAAGTAAAGAAGAAAGAATAAAAGAAAAGACGAATGGACAAAGAAAAACTGGCTTATAGAAACAACATTGAATGGGGGCGCCTGGGTAGCTTAGTCGGTTAAACGTCAGACTTCAGCTTCTGTCATGATCTCAAGGATCGTGGGTTCTAGCCCCGCATTGGGCTCTGTGCTGACAGCTCAGAGTCTGGAGCCTGCTTTCGATTCTGTATCTCCTTCTCTCTCTCTGCCCATCCCCTGCTCAGCTCTCTTTCTCTCAAAAATAAACAAACATTAAAAAAATTTTAAATAAATAAAAATAAAAACAACAATGAAAAATCCTAAGAGCAAACCCTTGCATATCCGAGAAAATTACCAAAGAATTCAGGTTCTGTCTGTTATTTTTCTCATCTCCCTTACTGTTGGCTCAGAATTTATGTCTTATGTGTGAAAATAAACTGAATTTTTGTTTTTTGTTTTTCCTAATAAGTGACACATGGATTGTACCTATTCTTTGGATAAAAAATGGAATCACTCAGTCTCTAGTTTGGCTAGATAAAAGCAGCAGTAAGTAACAAATTTTTAAAATATTTTCACATACATGCATGAATATATATTACACACACACACATATATCAAGGTAGAGAATAAAATGTTGAAGCGTACAGCTTTTGAAAAGCTGTCTTGCTTAAAACTAAAATATTATATCATTCTGGTTGAACATAGAACCATAAAGTTTCAAATCAAAAGCCATTACTTATGAAAAGCATATATGGTAAGATCAGTATATATTTTAGACTTCCTTTCATTTTTTATTGTTGGGTTTATTGGGTTTACTGTTTAAAATTAAGAGGATATAGTATAAACATGTACTGGAATATTTTTAGACGTAGCATTTCATGGTTTTCCCATATTCCTTTGTAGAAACATTTCCTGAAATGCAAATTTCAGATTCTGATCATGACTGGGTGATTCTCAATTTGAATATGACTGGCTATTACAGAGTTAACTATGATAAATTAGGTTGGAAAAAGTTAAAGCAACAGCTGGAAAAAGATCCTAAGGTAACGTTATATTTTTATGCCTGTTATTAAGTAACATTAATATTGCATTCTGGAGTTTTTTTTTTTAAGGTTACCTATTTTAAGAGACAGAAAGAGAATGGAGGAAGGGCAGAGAGAGAGGGAGAGGGAGAGAATCCCAAGCAAGCACTGCACTGATAGTACGGAGCCTGACGCAGGGCTCAAGCTCACAAACCATGAGATCATGACCTGAGCTGAAATCAAGAGTCAGATGTTTAACCAGCTGAGGCCTCTAGGTGCCCCTAGAGCCTTGTAGAGCTAAGCTTTCATAAACCCATGTGGTGGGAAGAGACTCTACCCTCACTGCCACCTTTCACACCATGCCACACAGGACTTTTTCCCTTCATTCCTAGAGAGGGGAGATTTTGGTTGAATGTATTGTTTTTGAATATTAATAGCATTTTTCTACAACAATTTTACATTCCTAGGTGAAAATCAGAGTACATTTTCCTATTAATCATTAGTTTTGTGATCTTAGACAAGCTACTTAAATGCTCCATTTCCATCTCGTTGCTTAAAATAAGAATAACAGGGGCACCTGGCTGGCTCCATTGGTAGAGCATGTAACTCTTGATCTCGGGGTTGTGGGTTTGAGCCCTACATTGGGTGTAGAGATTACTTAAAAAATATTGAAAATAATAAGATAGGAATAATATATCTTTGTTATTTATCACAAGAGTTAGAGATAACATAGGTAAACATATGCTTAAAACCTGTAAGCCCTTAATGGGTACTCGATATATGCTAGAAAGTGTTAATTCTTAAAACATTATATTCCTGGGGTCCCTGGGTGGCTCAGTCGGTTAGGCATCTGACCCTTGATTTCGACTCAGGTCATGATCTTGCAGTCGTGGGATCGAGCCCCATGTCCAGTTCTGCACTGAGCATAGAGCCTGCTTCAGATTCTGTCTCTCTCCCTCCCTCTCTGCTCCTCCCCTGCTTATTCCCCCCGACTCAGAAAAAAGTCTTTTTCATTCTTATTCTATATTCTTATTCTACATTCTACATTCTTATTGATTTCTATGGGCCCTGTAGGCCATGCAAGCAAGATCATGCCAGTCTAGCAATGATTTCTTGAAACCATTGTAGGCTTACTTATTGAAGCACTGAGGTCAGTTATTTTTACTCTGTAATTGGGGAGCAAATGAAACAGCATGTCTGCCATTAATATTAATTTAGAAAACCCAAGTGTTATTACTGCCAGAAAAGAAATGAGAGTACTACCAGGGGAAGATTGAAGTCTAGCATGCTGAGAAGTTCAAAGAGATGTTGTAAAGACTGATTTTCTAGGACCACACTTGTGACAACATGCGAGGTGTAGAAGGAATTCCATAGAGTCCTGTGGCCGGGCAATGCCAGGGGGCTCAGACAGAAGCCTAAGCAGTCAGGTTGGCAATTGACCCCCGCCTTTCTTTGATCCAAAGGGATCTGTTGGTGGATTGTGTCAATTTAGTAAGATCTTGAGAAGACAGGACCCTGCTTACCAGATACTGTACTAGACAGATAATTACCACATGGTGCTAAATAATATTTATGTAAGGCTTCCTAGGCCAAAACGTCTCCTGACAACAATTTGGACATTAGAATACAATTTAACGTGTGCTTTCTGTTTCGAGCAGCCTTTTAGACATGGCTTCCTGTTTCATTTTCTAACATGCCATTTTTCGGGGAGTATTTTGGCAAAATGCTCTGCCAGATGAAAGCCTTATGATTGATATCCAGAGGGACCATTTATCAAAACCAGATGTATAATAAATAAATCAAGGGGACTATCCTTAATAATTATCTTTCTCAGCACATGAGCCAATTCACGTGAAAGTGCTTTGGGAGCAGCGTGGATTCTGAAATGGTGTGATTATTGTGGATATTATTCTGGAAATTATTTTAGTACTGGAAACATATTCCCCATGTTCTCATCTCTTCCTGTACATATTTGTATCTCGTTTGCAGGCCATCCCTGTTATTCACAGACTGCAGCTGATCGATGATGCCTTTTCCTTGTCGAAGTGAGTACATTCCCTTCAGTTATGTGTATGTTTGTGTGTTTTTAACATTTATTTACTGTTGAGAGACAGAGCATGAGCTGGGGAGGGGCAGAGAGAGAAGGAGACACAGAATCTGAAGCAGGCTCCAGGCTCTGAGCTGTCAGCACAGAGCCCGACATGGGGCTTGAACTCCTGAACCACGAGATTATGACGTGAGCTGAAGTCGGATGCTTGACCGACTGAGCCACCCAGGCACCCCTCTTCACTCATGGTTTTAAAGCATACCTGGAGAGCTTTATAAAAAAATAATAACAATCAGATCTCTGTGAAATGAAACTGATTCTTCAGTGTATACAAGGCCCAACTTATTAGGATTAGGATCAAATTCCTTGGATACAGTGGAATTTTATTATAACATAAAAGTTGCTGGGATATGCAACAGCGTGCATGTACTTTGAGTGCGTTGTGCTAAATGAAATATGCCAGTCACAAAAAGGCAAATACTATGTGCTTCCTCTTATAGGAGTCACTCAGAGTAGTAAGGATCATAAAGACAAAAAGAGGGAGGGTATTTCCCCGGGGACCACAGGGAGGGAGAATAAGGAGTTGGTGTTTAATGAGAAGAGAGTTTCAGTTCTACAAGATGAAAGTGTAATTAGACATTAAAAAAAATTATTTTTAGTGTTTATTTTTGAGAGAGAGAGAAAAAAAGAGAGAGAGAGAGAACAAGCAAGGCAAGGACAGAGAGAGGGAGACAAAGAATCCGAAGCAGGCTCCAGGCTCTGAGCCGTCAGCACAGAGCCTGATGCAGGGCTTGAACTCAGAAACTGTGAGATCATGACCTGAGCCAGAGTCAGACAATTAACCGACTGAGCTGCTCAGGCGCCCCTAATTCAATATAAAGGAGAAATTTTAAAAGGATGCAGTAGAGAAGACATCAATTAAAAAAGGTCATAGAATTTAACTATTTACTATAACTATTTATACAATTATCACATAAAGTGTAAGAATCATTATTTTAAAAATTTCCAGCAAGAGTAAGAACTCAGGTAAAAGTACAAATGATTCAGGCTTAGTATTTATAAAGGGCCATTAACTGTTAAAATGGGTAAATGTAGGAAGATTGTAGATGCATTGGTATTTTTCTGTGATACTGTAAGTTAAGGAAATAGTGACATGTCCCCCTGCCCCCCCAAAAAAAGAATTGCTAGAAATAGACAATCAATTGAGATTTTGAAGTGATTTTTTTTTACCCTAGGCTGATGGCCATAGCTATAGTTTTAACGAGGTATGCCCTATATTTTAGTATACTACAGAATTAGATTCAATTTCTATCACATTTATTCAGTATAAGCCGTGCTAAGTATTTAACTAGGTAGGTAAATTAATATGTGCTCAGATAATAAGTTTTAAGACAATAAAATTAAGAGGTTTACATAATAAATTATCCAGTGTGTTCTCTCTCTTTTGCCTGTCCTGTTTCTTGAATGGATATCTGTTTATTTATCCTTCATTCCTTTACTACCTTTTCCTCTGTGACCCGCGACACATGCCCTTGCCCGCTGTCCCCGCTGACACCCCTCTCTAAGACGGAGACTTCTCTTTTAGCCTCCCAAGACTGGAATATGCAAACTCGGTTCTCTTCCTGTGTCTGACATTTCTTCCTGCTGCTCTGAGCATCCTTAAGACCAATCATGGTTATTAGGCACCTGGGTGGCTCAGCTGGTTAAGTATCCAACTCTTGATTTCAGCTCAGCTCATGACATTGAGGTTCGTGAGTTTGAGCCCCGCATCAGGCTCTGTGCTGACAGCATGAAGCCTGCTTAGGATTCTCTCTCTCCTTCTCTCTCTGCTCCTCACTCTCCACCCCCAATAAATAAACTTAAAAAATATATAAAAAGACCAATCATGCTTATTTTCTCTCGCTTTTCTCTTATGGTTTCCGTCATCATTTTACTATGTGTACATACAACACCCAGCAGATACAAGATAATCAGGAAAGCTTCACAAAAGGATCATGATTTCTACATCTGCATCTCCACCTGTCCCCTCCCGTCTTCGGTTTATCCTGTGGTCATTTACATTCAGGATTTCGCCCGCTGTACTTCATTTCTGTCTCTCAATTTCTCCCGCCATCAATTTCTCTCTGTCTGTCAAAGTACCACTGTACTTCCCATAGCCCAGATGGGAAGCATCAGAGGTATTCAGGACTCCTCGCTCTGTCTCCATCTGCCATCTAGCCAACCTGTCTCACCTGTTTGCTCCTGAGGATGTCTTTTGGATTCTCACCTGACTTAACCAGTCCCTGCTTCTATGCTAAGCCAAGTGCTCACCATTTTTTACTTAGCCATTTGCATGAGCCTCAGCCTTCATTCAGTTCCTTTTAATACCATTCTGTCTCCTTCCACACTGTGCAATAGAGTTTGTCGGCATCAGCTTCTTGACGTTACCCCAGTTGTTTAAACACCTTCCCGCCACATGTAAATTCTTTGTCTTGACATTCAAGGCTCTCTGCAGCTTCAGTCTGCACAGGGCAGGGGCAATCCTGCCCCTCTTGACTCCGCCCAGAAGAAATCCTGTGTCTCAATTGCGTGGTCTGCTCATTACACCAATCCCTGCTTGATCTTATTTGTCATAAGCAGCCTTCCTCTTTCTCTCTATCCATTTCCATCCTACCCATCCTTCATCACCTGTCTCAAGTTCCTCCTCCAGGAAGCCTTCCCTGACTTTTCCACCACATGCCTGTTTTCTTCCTCTGCTACTTGATTCTGGGACTCATTAACAGCTTCTTTTGCAAAAGTCTCAGCTAGCTCTTCACTGGAATAATAAGTTCCCCACTGGTAGACAACAGTTGTGTCCTACATACCAGTGTGTGTTACCACAAATGGTGGCAGAGCATTAGAGAATGACTTCTATTTAATATTTGGTGAATGAAAATTAGACTCTCGTAAGAACACATACTAAATGCACCAGTATCCTTTTGCCCAATGAGCTGTCCAACACTTGGCCTGGATTTTCCCATAGCCTCCTAAAATTTGGGCACTGGAATGTACCAAGTTGCAGTAGAGGGCGTGTCAGCATGGCTTGGCTCCCATTTATCAATGAGATGGACCCTTTACCCTCTCCTCGCTTCTTCCTTCCACATACCTTGTTGAAGTCAGGCATCGAAGCATGGAACAAATACGGAGAGTGTGCACGTCATTTAGCAAGTGGAGGTTTTTTGAGTGTGTATTTTTTTGAACCAAACAGAAACAATTATATTGAGATTGAAACAGCACTTGATTTAACCAAGTACCTTGCTGAAGAAGATGAAATCATAGTATGGTATGCAGTCTTGGTGAACCTGGTAACCAAGGATCTTGTTTTTGATGTGAACAACTATGATATGTACCCATTATTAAAGGTAATTTCCTTCTTTGTTATGGGGTTTTAAAAAAATCCTCTCTTCCTCTTTCCATATCTAGACAACATCGGTGAAACACATCTTTCCTGAAGTAATCGTCTATTCATTCCATATATACATTCATTTTCCTAGGGACAGCTGGTTCTTTTTTTTTTTAATGTTTAATTTATTTCAGAGAGAGAGAGAGAGAGAGCAAGCATGGGCAGAGGAGGGTCAGAGAGAAAGGGAGACACAGAATCCAAAACAGGCTCCAGGCTCTGAGCTAGCTGTTAGCACAGAGCCTGATGCAGGGCTTGAACTCACAAACCATGAGATCATGACCTGAACTAAAGCTAGACGCTCAACTGACTGAGCCACCCAGGTGCCCCAGGGACAGCTGGTTATTCTTAAAAGAAAACACTTTAGTCATAGACCTGATATAGAAGTTGAGAATGAGAGAAATTTAGTAAGGTCTTTAATTCTTGGTGAAGTAACAGCTGCCCTAAGAACCCAGGAGTGGATGGAAATGGTATGCCTTTTCTCGTACAGCAACTATTTTCCCAAGAGATTGTTAGCCAAACAGAAAGACTTTTAAAAGATATTTATTTATTTTTGAGAGAGATGGGGGGGCAGGTGCAGAGGGAGAGGGGGACAGGGGATCTGAAACAGGCTCCCCACTGACAGTAGAGAGCCCAATGCAAGGCTCAAACTCGGGAAGCGAACTCACAAACCATGAGGTCATGGCCTGAGCCAAAGTCAGACACTCTACTGAATGAGCCACCCAGGCGCCTCTGAACAGAAGAAATTAAAAAAACAAACAAACCCATACTCATAATTGAAATACTCCAATTTACAGAACTAGCACTTCACCAGAGAAGTATGTTTCAGAAAAAAGTGCCGGTTTTGAAGCTGATTTTGATGTTGGCAAGTGAGAGAGGGAAATTTGAATTAATGAGGCAATGACACATCATCATAACTGAAACAGTATAAAAGGAGGGAAGTTCTATGTTTAGATCTTAAACAGTGACCAGAAGAAAGACGGGCCAGGGGAAACCAAAGCAACAGTTGAGGAGCAACCCTTGGGGGAGGTAGAGACCAGACACAAACGAGAAAGTGTGCCATGTAATAATGCCAAGTGAGCTTCTGGGGGAGGCTGAGGGCGAGATCACAAATACCTCAGGGGCCCAGACTTTCCTTCCTGTGCTGTCCAGAGTGCTGGTGGAAGCATCCTTGAGTGTGGGGATGGTGACCGAGGAAAAAAGTCACTTAACTCTTCATGTGATCAAGGTGGCTTGTTGATGACATTGGATGCCCAGTTCTGGGTAAAGAATTAAAAACTAGTATTTGATTTTTAAAAATTTCAGTGAATAACATCTACATCTACTTTGCTTTTAGGGATATACTATAAATGGATAGCTTTAAAAAATGTTTATTTTTTGAGAGAGAGTGAGACAGAGCATGAGCCAGGGAGGGGCAGAGAGGGAGGGAGACAGAATCCGAAGCAGGCTCTAGGCTCTGAGCTGTCAGCACAGAGCCCGATGTGGGGCTCAAACTCATGAACTGCGAGATTATGACCTGAGCCGAAGTCGGATGCTTAACCTACTGAGCCACCCAGGTGCCCCTAAGTAGATAACTTTTACAATCCTATTATTTACCTGCTGATAGCTCAGTTGAAGAAACTCTGCTTTAGACTCAGAACTTAAAATGGTCCAAAGCATAAATCACTTCTCTTTATTTTCTTGAAGGTGTAGATCCTAAGCATGGAGATGTTAAGGTAGAAAGTTTAATGGCTTTATATTTTTACGTTCCTTTCTCTACGTTTCAGGTGATATTAAGTGGTAATAATAGCTAATACTATTGAGTTCCTACATGCTAGGCAATGCATTCACACACAGAACATTGTTTTGTCGTCCCCAAACTGTAATATTGGTATTCTTGTCAGTTCCGTTTTACCAGTGAGGAAACTGATGTAGAGAGGTTACAAAATAAACCAGTTTTACATTTGTAACAAATAAAGCTATGTCTGAAAACGTAGCAGTCACTTCTCTACTAATGTCTTTTCAGACAGAGAAATATGATGTGAATTCAGTGTTGCGAGCCAAAATTAACAGTGGGTTTTTCCTTATTGTTTGTAGAAATATCTATTAAAGAGACTTATCTCAGTATGGAATATGTATTCAACTGTAATTCGTGAAAATGTGACAGCACTACAAGATGACTATTTAGCCCTGTAAGTATTTGGGGAGCAGTCACAATTCAATAACACGATTCGTATGAATAGATAGGCTCCCAGATTCATATTAATAAGATCTGGACACCTTTCACTGAGAGATCGTGTATGCTTTTTGAGAACAGTAGCTTGGGGATTGGTGAGCTACCTGTACCTGTACCCTATAATTATTTCCCATAGTTAGGGATCTTAATTTAGCTGCAGAGCACATGCATGTAGAAACAGAAATTTATAGCTTTGGACTCTCAAATCTTAGGCTATGAGGTGAGATCATGAGTAAGTGTGTCCTTCTATTGACAAAGGGTTGTGCTGAGCAAAGCCAGCCCATACCAGTGAATTGAAGGGCATGGGGAGGCCACTAGAGAAAAAAGTCCTTCCTGCATGTTATTGGTGACAGAAAGTCTCCCACTCATTATACAAATACGATGAGAGAAGTTGCCTGAAATATTTGAGCCATTTGCTTGTGAGCGTGAGTAAGTTGCACATGATTTTCCTATCATTGGTTTGGTGAGGAGAGTAAGCGTGTTATCGTGATGGTCTGAGAAGGAGGGTGAAAGACAAAACAGGACTGTGGTACCCCTGGCCTCCCTGTGACCCGAGGGTTGTAGTGGAGTTAAGGGCGCTTCTAGATTTAGGGAGGGAATTTGTTATCTACCATGGCTCAGGAATTATGGTTACAGCTCTGGTCCACGTCAAACTGAAATCAATGAGACCAAGCAAGAAATGCAGAATACACAAAATGTGATGATTCTCTCTCAAGAGTATCCTTCTAAGAGGGGAGACATTTCAGTGCTAGGGCGCGTGACTGGAAGGACATGGGGTTGACCAGACACGTAAGGGAAAGATGGCGAGGACTAGCTGGGATAGCAAGTGGGCAGGCCAGCTGCGCGAATGAACAGGAAGGCAAAAGTGTGTTCACACAGGCAGCACAGATGTTAAACAGCCATATCCTTGGCTCTCCTAAACTGGACAAAAGTGACCTGCGTTTTGGAGCATCCCAGGGCCAGTTCTCTTCAGACTAACTGTGGGGAGTTGTACTTCTAGAGAATTCCATCTTTTGGCAGCCAACTTGGGATGGGTAGGGAGAGGATGTGAGTGTGTAAATGAATGCTTAGAACCCTCTCTCTGAGGTCCTCCTCCCTTGGACATTCTTCTCCTTATCAGAAAGTCAGGCCAGGCTCGGTTGAAACCAGAGGATGGAGCAACCAAATGTGGCCCTTGCATTTTCTGGAAACTTGTGGCCACTTAGGGTTCCTTTACCTCTGACTCCAAGTCAGAGAGTATAGCAAGATGTACCTCAAAGGCATCGCTTATCTGGATTTATGATTACCCTTCATTGTATTCTTTTGAACTTATAAACCGTAATGTGTAGCCCTGCTCAGCTATCAAAACAACAAAAATCTCTGGCCTTTTTCTGGACATGAGCATAATAACCAAGAGAGTAGAGGAAGAAACAGAAATTCAAGCTAGGGAAAGCATATTGTCCAAAGGGAGAAAGAAACCATTCCTTCTCTATCCCGTGTATGGAGAAAAAACTTTATTTTTAAGGTATTAGATCACATATTCCAAAGCCGCCTTCTTTTTCTGTCCATAAAGCAAATTATTGTAAAAGCGAGGAAAAATGAATTGATAACAGCTGTGGAGTGTGTATTCACAAGTATGTTTGCGGGAGATGAGGGATGGCAGTAATTTATTTCCAACTTTCAAAAAATACCAATCTTAGGAGTTTATTTGGTGCCTGAGAGCCTCTCAGCAAATATTTATCTGAGCCTTAAATAAGTTTGCCATCCACAAAAGCTATTTTTTTTTTTTAACAAACTTGATGTTATTGGAAGGATAATTTAAAATACCCATCCTTTTATGAAACCCAGGTACTTGGAGGCAGGAAAAAAACCGAATGTAGTAAACGAAGCAAAATAAAATATTTTTCTTTGTGCTTTCCTTTAAGAGTGGCTCTGGAAAAACTTTTTGAAACTGCATGTTGGTTGGGCCTTGAAGACTGTCTTCAGCTGTCAAGAGAACTCTTCAAAAACTGGACGAACCATCCAGAGAATGAGTAATTTGGAGTCTTATTTCGGTGGTTCTTTGATGGTTTATTATTGTGATGTATATGTAAGGATGTCCACGCAGCTCATTCTCTATGAATTGGCATTTCCACTGAGAGCTGAGACCAAGACTCTGTCTTTCTGGTTTTACTGCATTCCCTCTAATGCATCCCTGTCGGTGGACACTTGGGGAATGTGACCATAAGACATGAAACCAGGGGCGCTTGGCTGGTTCAGTTGGTAGAGCATCTGACTCTTCACTTCAAGGTTGTGAGTTCAAGCCCCACATTGGGTGTGGCGATTACTTAAAAAAAAAAGATATGAGCCTAAGCTGAATTATCAGCATACATATTTCCTTCTTTCTTAAACCTCCTTAGTTTCTTAACTGATCTGATGATTTCTTCCCATGATATAAATGCTAATGATGGTTTCTAGATCCCTACTTTTGACCTTTGTATCTGAGATCTCCTTGTTTTTTTCTAGATACATCCTTCTAAATAAATAACAACTTAGATTACACATATGAGTGAAATCATATAATATTTGACTTATTTTGCTTACCATAATACACTTTAGCTCCATCAACATTGTTGCAAAGGGCTAGATTTTATTCTTTCTGATTGCTCAGGAATATTCCATTGTACGTATGTATGTATATACCACAACTTCTTTATCAATTCATCAGTCGATGGACACTGGGTTCTCTCCGTAATCTGGCTATTGTTGATAACACTGCTATAAACATTAGGGTGCATGTGCCCCTTCACATCAGCATTTTTGTATCCTTTGGATAAACTGGCTATTGTTGATTAAGGAACAAAACAGATGAACATAGAAGAAGAGAAGGACAAATAAAATAAGAAAAACAGAAATAAGAAAATAAGACATTCTTTTTTAAATGTTTGTTTATTTTTAAGAGAGCAAGTAAATGGGGGAGGGGCAGAGAGAGAGAGAAGACAGAGGATCTGAATCGGGCTCCGTGATCACAGCAGTGAGCCCAATGTGGGGTTCAAAGTTACGAACCATGAGAGCGTGACCTAAGCTGAAGTCAGACACTCAACCCACTGAGCCACCCAGGAACTCCTAAGAGACTTTAACTACAGAGAAAAAACTGAAGGTTGCTGGTGGGGAGGTGGGTGGGGGGTGGGGTAGATGGGTGATGTGCATTAAGGAGGCCACTTGTTGGGATGAGCACTGGGTGTTGTATGGAAGGGATGAATCACTGATTTCTACTCCCGAAACCAATACTATACTACATGTTAACTACCTTGAATTTAAATTAACACACACACACACACACACACACACACACACACACACGTATATATATTTAACAACCTAAATAAATGTATAAATTAACTACTATCATATCATTCCACCTTCTGCCTTACAGAATACCTTATCCAATTAAAAGTGTAGTTTTATGTTATGGCATTGCTTTTGGAAGTGATGAAGAATGGGACTTTTTGTTAAATATGTATGCTAATAAAACAAAGGAGGAAGAAAGGATTCAACTCGCTTATGCAATGAGCTGCAGTAAAGACCCATGGATACTTCACAGGTAACCTGGCTAACTTATCTTTAAAGTTCCCAGAAGAGAGGGTGCCTGGGTGGGTCAGTCAGTTAAGCATCTGACTTTGGCTCAGGTCATGATCTCATGGTTCATGAGTTTGAGGCCCACATCGGGCTCTCTGTTGTCAGCACGGAGCCTGCTTTCGATCCCCTGTCATCTTCTCTCTGTCCCTCCCTGGCTCTCTCTCTGTCTCAAAAATAAATAAACATGAAAAATATTAAAAAAATAAAAAGGTCCTGGCAGAGAGGTGCAATTCATAAACCAAGGAGAGAAAAACAGAACATGTGCTTGTATAGGAGTTAAAATAATACCTATTTGTGCGCTACTGACTCAGACCCCTAAGGAATCTTAAGTCCATTTGTTGAAATTTGCTCTTTATGTTGGATAATGTTTGCATATTTCTTTTCTACACATGCATTTTTGCAGATATCTGGAGTACGCCATCATGGCGGGTCCATTCACTTTTAATGAAACAAATATAATGGAAGTTGTGGCGGAATCCGAAGTAGGCCGCTACATCGCGAAGGACTTTTTAATCAACAATTGGCAAGCTGTGAGTGTAAGGTAAGGAGGAAATAGGCGACCTCTTTCATACAGGTCACTGGTTTGGGGCCAGAAGCTCAGCTTTAGCCCGTCTAGATCCCCAGAATACTTTGCCTGGACCAGAAGAGTGATGATTTTCCTTGCACTCAGTCTCATTTGTGGAAGAGAAGGTCGCTTATCCCCAGTTTTGACTTTCTGTGTGAAAATGGATTTTCACGTACCTACCTTAGTTTCCCCATTGTGCCCACTAAGAAGTTTGTCGTAAGAGACAGAGAGTAGAGCAAGTCATGTTTTTTGGTGTGAGTGCACAGCACCCATTCACTTATTTCATGAAGCAGACCACTATATTTCAAGAAACAGCAATGCTCATCACTTCCCCAGCCTGCATGTTGCTCACGTCTTATTTGTCATAATATTCTCTTTACATATCTGGGTTCCATATTCTTAAATGTTTCACATTTCTCATCTTTTAAGATTAAATCTGCGTGCTTTATAGCTCCCTGTTGGGGAAAATATATGCTGACAGGCAAAAATCAGACAGCCTCGCGTCGGGCTCTGTGCTGTCAGCTCGGAGCCTGGAGCCTATTTCGGATTCTGTGTCTCCTTCTCTCTCTGCTTCTCCCCTGCTCACACTCTGTCTCTCTCTCTCTCTTTCAAAAATAAATAAACGCTAACAATTTTAAAAAATCAGACAGCATGCCCTTGAGGACTGGTCTTTCTAGAAAATGACTTAATCATACCTTCCTGAAAGCCTAGAATAATATGTCCTACAAGTGCTCACAGACTCTAGAATTGGCAGATACAAAGTAGCCAACAGTTGAGGTTCAAACACCTGTAAAGGTGGAAGATGCCTTTTGCAAATAAGTTTATCCTTGTGGAACAGAAAGTATGTTTAGAATATAAATGTTTAAAGAATGAGAATATGGCTCCCGTACGGAACAAAAGCATGGGATGTTTTTTTTTTTTGTGTACATTCATTGAGTTCCTTTACAACACCAAAATATTGTGCTTTTCAATCAGAAATTTACAACATGCAATGAACCTGGGTGGCTCATTTGGTCAAGCATTTGACTTTGGCTCAGATCATGATCTCATGGTTGGTGGGTTCAGGCCCTGCATCAGGCTCTCTGCTGTCAGTGTGGAGCCTGCTTCAGATCCTCTGTCTCCTTCTCTCTCTGCCCCTCCCCCTCTCAAAAATAAATAAACATTAAAAAAAAAGAAATTTACAAGAGGTAGGTAGAGACCTATTTTTATAGTCTTATTTTTATGGCTCATCAGTTGAACACATTTAGCATATTCACATATTAAGAAAATTGACCTTACATCCAGTTTTATATTTTCTATCATTCTAAGTTCATTGCTTTGGAGGGTCTTTGGAGTTCCTTAAGTTTCCTCAGATTCCTAAAACCTTGGGGGTAAATGATGTCTTCCATTCTTGCTTCAGTCATTAAAGATAATACCCTCCTTCCTAGGACCTACTGGGAATTTGGGAGTTAGGATATAAGTCAGAATAATTGACATTGTTCCCCGTGTTCCCTGAGATTTCAGTGATCCCACACTCCCAGGGGTGTTTTTTCATTTCTGTTCTCTCTCTGGAGTTTGTAACAACAGCCCTGTCTCCACCTGGCTTTGCCTGGCCTGGGAGGTCACCTTTCCACTTGCTGCTGTGGTCATGTTGCCCAGGGGCACTCACTTCAGCTACAGTCCTTGACTCTTTCCTTCCTATGCTTCCTACCACGCAATCTAGTAGCACTTTGGGAATGAAAATGTTGAGAGAGCAGCTCCTTTAAGAGATATGTTCCAGGGCGCCTGGGTAGCTTAGTTGGTTGAGTGTCTGACTTCACCTCAGGCCATGATCTCGCAGTTCATGAGTTTGAGCCCCACATCGGGCTCTGTGCTGGTGGCTCAGAGCCTGGAGCCTGTTTCAGATTCTGTGTCTCCCTCTCTCTCTGCACCCCCCCACTTATGCTCTGTCTCCCCCTCTCTTAAAAATAAATAAACATTTAAAAAACATTTAAAAAAATAAATATGTTTTGATTTGCCCAACTTGTAGTGACCACCGGCTGTTGATTCCTCCAACCCTTCCCATGCACTGTTGGGTCCCAAGAAAGACAGAGGTTCACAGTTATGAACCAGTCTTAGTATCTAACAGTGCCTGGCACCTGGTACGTCCTTATATAAGTGTTGAGAATTGAATTTATTATCGTTGTGGCTCATAGTGACATGGTGCCTACCACTCAAGCAGATGACCCCAGCCACAAGGTTGGAAATCACCTACAGTGGTGAAGAAACCCCAAGACTCTCAAGCCCACCCACCCACCCACCTTTAAAATGAAAATCTGCCAGGCGCCTGGGTGGCTCAGTTGGGTAAGCATCTGACTTTGGCTCAGGTCATGATCTCATGGTTCATGAGTCCAAGCCCTACATCACACTGTCTGATGTTGGCACAGAACCTGGACACCACTTAGGATCCTTTGTCCCCCCGTCTCTCTCTGCACTTCACCCCGTCTCAAAAATAAACATTAGAAAAATATAAAAATAAACATATACATAAAAGCAGAATCTGCCAAAAAAAAAAGGGCAGGATATCTGCACCTTTCACTAGCTCCCCAGGTGGCTCTGAAACAGTTTAACCTGGGACCAGTAGACGCCTGATTCAACCATTAGCTAAGGCTGCATTGCCCAATATGATTGCCACTAGCTAACATATGGGCATTTGAACTGAAATTTGAATTGATTAAAATGAAATAAGATTTGAAATTCAGGTCCGCAGTTGTACTAGCCCTGTTCTAAGAGCACAATGCGTCCAAGCAGCCACCACATTTTGGACAGCTCGGATGTAGACATTGTCATCGCTGCAGAGGGTTCAGCTGGACAGCATTGCTCCTGGGGGTAATGAGCCCCTTAATTCATTTTTTCCTCTCGTCTCCTTCACACATGGCCCATGTGCCAAGGAAGCTCCCAAAATGCCTTTGACCAACGCATAGGGAAGATTCCTCTCAATTTAAGTGACTTGATGTGTGTTTTAACTTTTATTCCTCAGAAGAACCCTTTATCTGTGTTTAGAGAATGAGAACATGTTGGTCAGACTCTCTGAAAAGTCCACTGTGTAGCAATTTATTTAAATGCATAACAGTATTAAATGGAGAGAATTGCTCCCCTTTCTTTTTAACTTTAATTGGGTCTTGTTAACCTCAGGGAACTCCTAGAATTATAAATGTATGAACTTTTAAAAAAATTATTTATTTTGAGAGAGTATGAGTGGGGTAAGGGCAAAGAGAGAGGAGAGAGAGAATCCCAAGCAGGCTCCATCCGCACTGTCAGTGCAGAGCCTGACGCGGCACTCAAACTCACAAACTGTGAGATCAAGACCAGAACTGAGATCAAGAGTTGGACATTTAACCAACTGAGCCACCCAGGTGCCCCTCAATGTATGAACTTTTAATCCATGGCTTGAATATTTTTGTCTCTTATCAATAAAATGTCATGCCCATAAAACAGATAGCTATTTATAGCAAATTCAGCTTACTCCTCTCATACATTATGCTACAACAAGCCTTTCAGACTCAAATAAGTTTGCTTTCTATATCAAATACATTTGTTTTGGAGGAGGGCACTTGTGGGGATGAGCACTGGGTGTTATATGGAAACCAACTTGACAATAAACTATTTAAAATAAAAAAAACAAAAAACAAATACATTTGTTTCTTTTTTATTTTTTAATGTTTTATTTATTTCTGAGATAGAGACAAAGAGAGAGAGAGAGACAGCATGAGCAGGGGAGGGTCAGAGAGAGAGGGAGATACAGGATCTGAAACAACCTCCAGGCTCTGAGCTGGCTGTCAGCACAGAGCCCAACATGGGGCTCAAACCCACAAACCATGAGATCATGACCTGAGCCGAAGTTGGACACTTAACCGACTGAGCCACCCAGGCACGCCTAAATACATTTTTTAAAATTTTTTATTCATTTATTTCACATTAATTGTAATATTCACCAATCTTGCTGGATTTTGCCAATAATTTGGTTTCAATAAATGGTGCTAATATTTATGGATTGTTAGAAAGGAAGTGAAATTCAAGTTAATAATTTAACCATTATATATACTAAAAATGGCACAAGAATGCTTGCTTAATTCTTTGTACCTCAGAGGAATTATAATCATCATTTACTTCAAGAGTTATATTTGAGGGGCACCTTGGTGGCTCAGTCGGGTAAGCATCTGACTTTGGCTCAGGTCATGATCTCATGGTCTGTGGGTTCAAGCCCTGCATCAGGCTCTGTGCTGATAGAGCCTGGAGCCTGCTTCGGATTCTGTGTCTCTCCCTCCTCCCCCTCATCCCCCCCACTTGCATTCTGTCTCTCTCTCTCTTAAAAATAAATAAACATTTTAAAAAATTAAGTTACATTTGACAGGAAGACTAACATGTTACCTGTCTTCATACAATGATAAAGACAGCATGAAAGGGTAAATTTTACCTTAATTACATGAAAAAGACTTATTCTGAATTTGCTGAAATGTGACTGATGACCAGCAAGTTAGGTATGAAATTAGCATATTCCAGTATGTTCCACCAAGTATAGTTCATAGAAGACGTTGGTCAGCCTTCTGTGAACAAGAAAGACAGTCTCCCGGTCAGGTTGGGAAGTGTCTGCTTTAACTTCCACTTTTTGCAAATTCACAGTCTACGCTAGCATCATAAAGACCCCAAGAAGCCCCATAGAGGGAAATCTAGAGTTTTCCACACCCTTCTTCCTGCATCTTATAGCCGTAACCATATATGTAATGTAAAGAGAGTGTCATTTTGCCAGGCAATTGGTTGTTCTGGGGGAGAAACAGATAAGAAGCTGAATTCTCTGACCTTCTTCTCTGGAATGGTAACTGAATCAACAACTGTGTGTTGTTTACCTTTTAACATCTCAGCCTTGGTTTCCTCTTACATAAAATGAAAGGTATTCTATTGGATCAATTCCAAGGTTCCTTCTCATAATAAAAAAAAGTTCCTAGTTCCCCCATGCCAAGGCACAGTCAGTTTAAGCTCTTGTCAGGGACATGAGGTAATGAGGACATGATATCCGACAGATGGTGGAGAGGAGAGCTGGAGAAGGTTTGGGTGAACCCAAAGAGAAGAATGGTGTATGTGTGGGATTTGAACAAGCAGTTGGGGAAAATTACCTTCTGCACAGAGCACAGGACACCGGGAAATGCCTCCGGGCAGGACTGACTTGGGACCCGGCACAGTAAGTGGCTGGAGCTCAGGGCTCAGGAACAGAGTAGATGGGGCTGTGTTAAGGGCACCAGCAACAGCGGTTCGGGAACATCTCCCCCTCAACCTGGGGATGGAATTCTTCCCAGGAAGCCTCATCTGAAACTATGCTTTGGAATATTTGTACTGAGGAAAACAGCTTTGGTTTGGGCCTGCCCCTCACTCCCATGTTTAGGGTACTGGTCTGGTTGCTGTGGGGTATTTGAGTTGATTATTGGGCCGAGGAGGATCTTTTGAGGCCTGATGGGAATGAAGGAGCCTCCAGTGACCATAAAGGCATTTTGCAGGCTGCAGAAAAACACGCTATGGTTATGCAGCTGTGGATAGGTCTTATGGAAGAAGGGGTGGATGTAGAGATGAGGCAGTAGGATTTGCAGAAGTTGTTACTGTAGGTGGTAGAAAGCCTCTCTGTGCCCTGGCGTCCTTGTCAAGTGCTTCTGGCTTTTTTACAACAATGTAGACTTTGCAGCCTCCTGGGAAACCCTAGCTTTATGTGAATACGGAGTTCAAGGTATGATCAGTTTCCAAATCAACTAATCCAGAAGGAAATCTTACTGCCCTCTTCACCAAACACTTGATTTCTTCTTCAAATACTGTTAACATTGGCTAAAGTCCTGAGAGCGAAAGCTTGCACATGTCCCTGCTCCGTCTCTGTTGTGTTTCATCATGGGGAGCATGGAGCTTCTGAAGGGAGAAATGGAGCACAAGCAAAAGGAGAGAAGTCAGGTGATACGGAGTATGGCACCCAAGCCCTGAACGGCCGATTCCCACTGCTTGTCAGCGGGTCAGGCCAGGTGCCTTGGTGTTCCCGTGCTTGTCTCATGCCCATGCTTGCCACGGGAGATCAGACATGATAGGGGAAGGGAGGGAATTATTCCCCCGTCATGAGAGAAAGGAGAGAGACAGAAGGTGATCCAGACAAGAGGGGCCCAAATCCCTGTGCACACCCTAGCACAGAATGTTACCAATGTTTTAAGTTTATTTTTGAGAGAGTGTGGGAGGGGAGGGGCAGAGAGAAAGGAAGAGAGAGAGAGAGAGAAAATCCCAAACAGACTCAGCACTGTCAGTGCAGAGCCCAACAGAGGGCTCGAACTCACAAACTGTGAGATCATGACCTGAGCCGAAATCAAGGGTTGGACACTAAGCTCAACAGACCAAGCCACCCAGGCATCCCTGAACGTTACTGATTTTTTAAAGCACTAAGCAAACTGACACACGTTGTCTCTGGTCTCTCCATGTATCTGACCACTGGCAGGATAAACTATTTGTAATGTATATATTTTTGCTCAGTAATATTTCAGAGATTGCTCTCTCAACAAGAAGGACAGATCATCTCTGTCTCGGAAATACCTCCTCTTGCAATTTGCTAGAATAGTAAAGGATGAAGTGCGCCAGGTACTCTGATAGGTGCTTCTATATACAGCATCTTATTTCATCTCCAGAACAATGCTTTTAATTATATGCTAGTACCGATCTTTTACAAGTTATAAATTACTCAAGATAATTTCAAACCTAGCCCTGCCTCTCAAGGTAGTTTTCCTCCTCTGTCTGGTAGAAAACCACACATTTAGGGCCCTAGGTAGCTTTCCACATTTTTGTTTTAAAGTTTGGAACTCAGGTTTTGGTTTTGTTTTTTTTTTTCAAATGTTGCCAAATTTCTTGAGTCATTTCATAGGCTTTTAATACCTGGCCAATCAAAATGGAGAACTAAGGGGCGCCTGGGTGGCTCAGTCTGTTGAGTGTCTGACTTTGACTCAGCTCATGATCTCATGATTTGTGAGTTTGAGCCCCGCTTTGGATTCTGTGCTGACAGCTCAGAGCCTAGAGCCTGCTTCGAATTCTCTGTCTCCCTCTCTCTTTCTGCCTCTCCCCACTCATGCTCTGTCTCTTTCTCAAAAATAAATAAACATTAAATTTTTTTTTAAAAAAAGGAGAACTAAGAAGTGTGTCCTCTTTTCCTATAGAAACAGATATTACATGAGGTCTTGCAATTTTTAGTTTCAAGTATACAGTTTTGAAGTAAGTCAATCGTGTGTATTAACCATCAACTATCAATAAAACGGTGATTCAACCCTTTTTTGTTCCATCCAAAACATTAACCCTATTTTAATTTTCTTTCTTCTTTAATGCATCCAAAAGTCCTTATTTACCTTTTTAACTTCAGCAAGGCTTTGGGAAGGTATGTATCTGCTATATTTCCCTAACAATGTTTCCTGGGGTTTTGTTGCGAGTGATCACTGTTGGATGTTCAGGGAGACTAAACCAGAAGGGACGTTAGAGTCACCGTGCCTCTTAGAGGGAACAGAAATACTTAGCCCTTCGGAGATCACCAACATCTTGAGAATCTCCAAAGACACGGATCCTTTCTCCAAAAACAAGATACAAATTCAAAATTTTAAATAGGCTTTTAGGGTCGTTTAGCCAGAGTTTCCGAAAGTGATTCCCTATATCAATAACAAGCTGTTAAGGGGCATAATTTTGCATATTTACTTACCCCCTTATAAATTGTCTCAATTTGAGGTATGTGACCACTATTTTAACCGCTTCATTTAAAAAGATAAAAGCAGTTGTTGTTGTTGTTTTTAAGAGCTTTTTATATTTGAATAAAGGTTTTAGAACTATGTGTACACAAATCGATTTGAACTGTAGACGTTTCCTTAGTGCTGCTGAAATTCTCTATATAATAGCTTCCCTATTAAATGATGATACTAAACTCATTCATATATGGTTTTGCTTAGATTTGGGAGATAGGAACCGGTAGGGGCTATACAGGGCTATACCTGCTGTATAAAGTATCACTTTATCTTGCAAAACATTTTCCACTTCTGATTAGCATCTTGTTGCTTTGTAGGTATGGGACACAATCACTGGTTACTCTAATGTGCATAATAGGGAGAACCATAAATACTGATTTACAGATCACAGAGGTGAGTACTTTAGTTATTGTGAATTGTAACAATAATTCAGAAGCCATTTTTAAATGTAATTTGGAATCACTAAAATTAAAAACAACAGGCTTGGGGCGCCTGAGTGGCTCAGTGGGTTAAGCATCCTACTTCTGCTCAGGTCATGCTTGCGGTTTATGAATTCAAGCCCCGCGTCGGGTTCTGTGTTGACAGCTCAGAGCCTGGAGCCTGCTTTGGATTCTGTCTCTCTCTCTGCTCCTCCCCCGTTCACATACTGCCTCTCTCTTTCAGAAAAAAATAAAATTAAAAATAAATGAAAAACAACAGGCTTATTTGAATTATTATAGTCCCTGCCTCTACTGGTGTTATTTTCACTGTGTGCAGGAAATGATTTTAATTCTCTCTTGCTCCTGAAATAGAGACAGATCATTCTTGTTCACAGAGGACTGGACTCCATTCTTCCTCACCTAACTTACTGCAGGGGACTCTGGCCAGGACCCTGGGAACCAGGCTGGTCTTCCCTGCATCCCAGCCCTCCTATTCCTGCGAGATCTTGCCTGGCTGTCAAAGCTTCAGTAGCTCATTACAGCTTTTAGAAGAGATTTTATCATCTTTTCATTAGTGTCCTTTATAACCTGGCCCCATCTGCCTCTCCGGCTTCATTTCTGCCCACCTCACCACTGAGCATCAGGGAATAAAAGAGACAGACACTCCCAAATATTTTTCTCTAGTTAGACTGTACCACCTACAGGTTTTTTTACATTTGCATGTTGTTTCACATTTTCCAGATTTTGGAAACACTGTACCTTCTGATCTGGGTGACTTCACCATGCCTGGCCTCGGCTGGATAATCCCTAGTTACCCTTTAAGACCCTGCTCGAAACACCTGTTCCAGGAATTTTTCAATCAACTGATTTATACCTTCTCCTTATCCATGCTCCTCAATCATTCTATGAATCTCTGTATGCTGGTGCTAACTACATTATACTGTAATTGGGGTATAAATATGTCTACTCCCCAAAGCTATAATGAGCTACCTGAGGACGGAGACCACATTTTAGTCATATCTGTATTCTAGAAACTAACCATGGAGCTTGCCTAGGCTCTGCTTTCTCTGGCTGATTTTCTTCTTAGGCAAAGTTTCTCCACACCAAGGCAGGCACAGCTCAGGCTTATGTCAGCCTCAGCACTATCGCTTGCAGGAGAAGAGGTCCTTGCTCACCCAATGTCAAGTTTCAGCCTTGTGGCATGACCCTGGTTGGTCCTATGTGGGTCACATGCACCAATTATTGTGTCTGGTGGGGGTGGGGAATGAAATACTCCACTGGCCTCACCTGGGTCAAGTGCCCACCTTTGGAGCCAACCCCACTCAAACCACAGGCCCTGGGATAGGAGAGAATAGCTCTGGAAAGAAAAGGAGATCCTATAACCAGAAAGTAAACCAAGGGGCCAAAGCATATGTCTATTAAAAAAAACATCACACACACACACACACACACACACACACACACAGTGTAAAACAAGGGTAATATATAAATACAACCTCCACACACCCAATAGTGTAGATAAAATTAGAAAGATTTGCAATACCAAACACTGACAGAGAGGTGAAGCAACCAGAACTCTCTTTTTCTGCTGGTGAGAATATAACATGGTACAACAATTTTGGAAAATAGGCAGTATTTTATTTTATTAAAACACTTTTTTCTTATTTTAATTTATTTTTGAGAGTGAGACAGAGCACAAGCAGGGGAAGGGCAGAGAGACAGAGGGAGACACAGAATCCAAAGCAGGCTCCGAGCTGTCAGCACAGAGCCCAATGTGGGGCTCGAACCAATGGACCAGGAGATCATGACCTGAGCTGAAGTTGGACGCCCAACCGAGCCACCCAGGCACCCCAAGGCAGTATTTTAAAATGTCACTTAGACACAGAGTGACCTAACAATTCCATTTTTAGGTGTTTTTACTCAAGAGACATTAAAGCCTACATCCACACGAAGACTTGTACATGAATATTCATAGCAGTTTGATTCACACTGGCCAGAAACTGGAAATCATCCAAACATCCATCAATAGGTGAATTGATAAGAAAAATGTAATATATCCACACCAGGGAATATACCCTGCAATAAAAAAGAAAAAGAATAGGTTTGTGTAACAGCATGGATAGATCTCAAGATGATATTGGGAGTTTAAAACACACACACACACACATACACACACTCGAAGAAATGCAAATATAATGTCTGATGTTAAAAGGCAGATGGATGGCTGCCTGGGACAGAGGGAGAGCTGGATTGCAAAGTGTCTGAAGGGATTTGTGGGTAGTGGAAGTGGACTATACTTGAACATGGCTATGTGTTTCACAGGTGTATACAGTCATCACAACTGTACACTTTGTACACTAAGTGAATACAATTTATTGTCCATCAATGTCATTTCAATAGACGTCATTAATTTTGTTTTTAAATGGATGAGTACAAATTAAACATCATGGCCTGAAACGATATTCCTAAGAACAGAAGGGGCCTGTGTAAATAAGAAAGGAAACTCAATCGCTTCTCAGCCTTTTGGCTAAGATCAAGCCTCATATCTGTTCTTATAGGTTTTATAGCTGATATATCCTCTATCCGAGGACAACATAGTATATGAATTTGGGGAGCAGGGAGATAGAATAGGAGCTTGCTTGTCCCCTCCATGGATTGAGCTGGTTAAAAAAGAAGAAAGAAAAATCAACTTCCCTGTCACAGCAAATAGACCAATACACACATAAGTCATAAAGGCCCGAAGTTTGATCATGAGCCAGAAAAAGAGAGAGAAGCAGTGAGCTGTGTACTTGTTATTAAGAGAGAGGAAGAACCACTAATTCCTAAAGGAATGCTCTCTGTTTGGGTGTTGGCCTGCCTGAGTCTGACCTGCAAAGACGTGATTTACAGGGATTCTCTGCACAAGACAGTGAAGGGCACACCCAGAAATGCTGGAGGGAACACTCTGCAGTGAGGACGAGTTTGTGCTAGTATCTTCCTTTATTTTTAATGTTTGTTTATTTTTGTGAGAGAGAGAGAGCATGAGCAGGGGAGGGGCAGAGAGAGAGGGAGACAGAATCCAAAGTAGGCTCCAGGCTCTGAGCTGTCAGCGCAGAGCCCGATGCGGGGCTTGAACTCATGAACCATGAGACCATGACCTGACCTGAGCCAAACTCTGATGCTCGCCTGGCTGAGTCACCCAGGCTCCCCAGTCCCACAGCAGGTAGGTGTGGGAGAGGGTGGGAGGTCTGTTCCTGGCTCCTTAACCTGCATTTTCCTCCAAACTTACTTTTCTTTGACATTGTAATTAGTCTCAGTGCCCCTATTTCTACTCAATTTCAAGAACATTAGGGTTTGAGTGACAGTTTGTGAGCTGGGATAGGTACACACTCATCTCATCTGTTCTAAACTCTAATCCAGTGACACAGAAATAGACTTTTGGAATATAACTTATTAGTTTATTGGGGTCTGGCTGATGCACAATATTGAGGTAGATGTTTCCATAAATAAATGCTCCAGCTGACCCCCTAAAGGAATCTGGCCAGTGGACAAAACTACTGTCTCAATATTCTTTTTTTTAAAAGTTTATTTTTGAGGGAGAGTACATGCAGGGGAAGGACAGAGATAGGGGAACAGAGGATCCAAAGCAGGCTTCACGCTGGCAGCAATGAGCCTGGTGTGGGGCTGGAACTCATTAACTGGAGACATTGACCTGAGCCAAAGTTGGATGCTCAACTGACTGAACCACCCAGGCGCCCTATTTCAATATCCGTTTTAAAAATAACTTAAAAAATTTTTAATATTAATTTATTTTTGAGAGAGAGAGCGAGAGAGAGAGACAGAGCATGAGCAGGGGAGAGGCAGAGAGAGAGGGAGACACAGAACCCGAAGCAGGCTCCAGGCTCTGCTCTGTCAGCGCAGAGCCCCACGTAGAGCTCGAACTCATGAACCATGAGATTATGACCTGAGCTGAAGTCGGGGGCTTAACGGACTGAGCCACCCAGGCACCACCCACCCCTGCCCATCCCAATATTCTTAAATAAAGTATAACCACTTGTAAAGACACAGGTGTTAGGTGCCAGGTCTGAGCTTTAGGAGCTGCAAAGTTTCTTTTGAGATAAGAGACAATCTCACTGTATCTCTGCCCACAAATCGTGTATAATACCCGGCATGTATTCAGTAAAGCATTATCAGGCACCTACTGTGTGCCCTTGGGGGAGAGAGCAGTGAACAAAATAGATGAAGTCCCCATTCCATAGACAGAACCTGCCTCTGATTCTTCAGGGTAGGTGTGTAGCCTCCACATTTTCTCGGTGCCAGGCTCCCCAGAACAGGTGACCTAGGAGCGCACCTTCCCACCCGCCCCAGCCCACGACGGCCATTTGCAAAACCGTGTTGCCCTGAACATGTGCTTGGCCGCATTCTGGCTAAAGGAGACCTGAGTTTGCACTGACCGACCTTCCCTTTGTCCTTCAAGCTGCAGCAGTTTTTCGGGAACATGTTGGAAGAGCACCAAAGGCTCACGGTTCATGCCAAATTACAGACCATAAAGAACAAAAATCTAGAAAACAGGAAGCGCAACGCCAGGATGACCGCATGGCTCCGGAAAAACACGTAACGGAGTGGCCACTTCCGGCGCCCCTCATGCCCGCCATCATGTAGTCTGTGCGGTTTTGTCCTCCAATACTTTGTGAGTCTGGAAAACCTCATGTGCTGTTGTTCATGTGTCCTTCACATTTACTCCTCGGAGTCCTTCCCGCTCCTCCCATGGTGTCACGTCGGCCGTCAGGCTCAGGGACGGCTGAGGGTTTGGCCAGGGCTGCTGCGTCTCGGGGGGAGATTTTTCATTCACTTCGTGTTGGGCTGTAAAACCACAGAATTTACTTTAACTGCCTTGTGAAAACAAGTTCACCTTAGAAAGTCTTGCTTGTTCTGTTGTGAGAGGCAGTGGGATGTCAAATCCGTTGGCCAAACGCGGACATTCTTTTCTAAGGGAAAGAGAGATTTGCAGCACTCCGGGGTTTGTCTGGTTGAAAAGCATAATGAGCAAATAACACAGCAGCTTTATATAAAGGAACAGAAACCGAAGAACTAATTGTCCCTAGCACTTAGCAAAGCCAAGGAAAGCTCGTTTTAAGAAGGAAGAGGTCATTTTATGAGCCGTGCTAAGTGCCTTAAAGGCAAGCGACGTGTCTTCTGCCCATTGCCCTCTCCCTGCAGTGCCCCGTAGTCTTGTGTTTACAGTTTACAGGCTACTGAGCCTTTATCTGTTACAAAAAGAGCCAGGATCGAAGGATCCATGAAGTGCCCTTCGGATGGCTGTTCTGGAAGCCGGAATGAGAGGAAGGCTTTGCCCTGAAGCTGGAGGCTGTGTACTCACCTGTGGGCCAGACACTCGTCCGGCCAAAGTTTATGTGCAAAAATAAAGATGTCAACAGACAGTAGCAATTAGGGGCAGATCTTCAGCAATGAGGGAAGTGGCCAAATACAGAGAAATAGAACTAAAAGGCTAACCAGAGAATAAGCTTTACGGCTTTGTCTTCAGGGGACTGAGTTTGAAATGTGGTTTCATCTGGCCAAATCCAATCTCCTGGTAGTTGGGAGAACTTTAGAAGCATTCATCAATGACAGTGTATGTATGGAATTAGCTTAGTTTCATTACGCAGGATTAACTCGGGACAGCTAAGGCAAAGCACCCGCCTCTAGAGTTTGTGTGTGTATGATTTGATTCTGTGTTTCCACGTTGATTTTGTTTGTGTAGAATGGGGGTAAAACTACAGATCTCTGATCTACCTCAGAGTGATGTAAAGATGAAGGAAAATGTCAGTTAAATGCCTTTAAAAATGTTGTATGACCTCAAGGCGACGCGACCTAAGGTTTTTCTCTCTTGCTCGTTGCAAATGAAAACGCAGAACCAAAGTTTGCTTTTGTATTTATTTCACACAAGGAGTCTCCCTGAGTGAGTGGATGTGGTTATGAAAACCAACCAAAGCACCACCCCCTCAGACTTGATCATGGGTCATAGGTCAGACAGAGAGTTTTCTTCTCTAAATTTGCAAATTTAAAATGGAGGCACCTGGGGGCTCAGTCGGTTAAGCGGTTAAATGTCCAACTTCGGCTAAGGTCATGATCTCACAGTTCGTGGGTTCGAGCCCTGCGGCGGGCTCTATGATGACAGGTCAGAGCCTGGAGCCTGCTTTAGATTCTGTGTCTCCCTCTCTCTCTGCCCCTCTTCCATTCATGCTCTGTCTCTCTCAAAAATAAATGTGAAAAAACTAAAAGGAAAAGAAATTTTAAATGTAAGCAACAGAATGTCACCATGTGTCCAAGTCATTATGTGTGAGATATCTCCCGGTGTTTTCTGGACCATCCGTTCTCTATTTCCTATATTTCCTCTGATGATAGTCTCCACTTCCAATAACCATGTCACCCATGTCTCCCCTCCTGCGTTTCTCTTCCTCCTCTTCCTCTCCCTCCTTAGCCCTCTTGTGTTTCCTTCTCCCTTTTTAGCAACCCCTGCCTTCCTTCTGCCTGGCTGTCTGCCCGTTCCTGACCTTGGTCTTGCTACCCTGCTGTGCTCTCAAGTACAAGTGCCCTGGGAGGCTCTGACACTGGTCACCGGGTGCAGATGACACCGCCGAGCATTGCCTGATCCCACCAGAGGAATGCCCGGAGCCAGTCTCCAGCCATCTGTTGAAAATCAAAATCCAGTTACATCTTAGCTTCTGTGGGAATTAAAAAGCACTGAAAGAGCTTACAGGGCGCCTGGGAGGCTCAGTCAGTTAAGTGTCCAACTTCAGCTCAGATCATGATCTCACCGTCTGTTGAGTTTGAGCCCTGTGTTGGGCTCTGTGCTGACAGCTCAGAGCCTGGAGCCTGCTTCGGATTCAGTGTCTCCCTCTCTCTCTGCCTCTCCCCTTGCTGGTACTCTGTCTCTCTGTCTCTCTCAAAAATAAATAAACATTTAAAAAATATTTTAAGGCTTATCAAAAGCCCACATATTTGGTTAATAGTCCTTTCTCTAAATATGAAAAACAATTTGAGTAGTATACATTTTATCTTACCTGGATGAAGCCAGTTTCCCAGATGGACATTGCATTTTATTATATCGTACTTATCCCTGGTATAAAGTGAAGTAATTATTGATTGACCACTGTGATAGCAAGAAGTCAGGGAGCAATACTGATGCAGATTTGTGTAAAGGGCATAAATACTCCATTCACCAATAAACCAGCTTACCTGTTTAGCACCCCAGCTATAAAACAGTTTCTCCAACCCATCCAGTTTATCCAGTTTGCTTTGTACTGTTCACCCTTTTTAAAAAAAGTTGATTTTTTTCCATTCAGCAATCAGAAATGAAAAGATTTCCTTACAGTCTTCTGCTGCTTTCCTGCTCAGATCCACTCAGCGACTGCCCATCGCTGACTGTAGAGCTCTGGGTTCAAGCTGTGCAGTGGCTTATTCTGAGGAATGAATGAAGGAGAGAAATGAATTTAACTTTATTTTTTTAATGTGTATTTATTTTTGAGAGAGCATGAGTGGGGGAGGGGCAGAGAGAGAGGGAGACACAGAATCTGCAGCAGGCTCCAGGCTCCGAGCTGTCAGCACATGGGACTCGAACTCATGAGCTGCAAGATCATGACCTGAGCCGAAGTCAGACCCTCAACGGATGGAGCCACCCAGGCGCCCTGAGATGAGCTTTAGAAGAGAAGCCTTCTCTGTTGCTTTTTCTGTTTGCTCCAACAAATGCCATCTTTTTTCCATCCAAACTCTAGCAGGATTAACATTGCCAAAGCGAGACCTTAAGTGGGGCTCACAGTACACAGAACTGCCTCCCTCACACGGAGGAACAGGAATCAGCATTCGAGACCACGCAGATGTTGCTTCCAGCCTACTCTTCTCTGGAATCCAACAACTTTCAGCAAAGACATTCCTTACAACACACATATCTAGGAGTTATGTGCGCTTTGTGTGTTCTCCTCCTTCACCAACAGGTTGATGTTTGAGGTGAGGCAAAACAAGGCAGGCCTCTACCTGAGGGCAAGTCCCATGATCTGGAGTGGGTGGAGGAGTTTGGGTGGGCGACGGGGAGTCTACACAGTGGGGGGCACAGCTTGGCACAGGATCGCAGAGCCCAAGAAGGTGAGTAGGACGAACGCACAGTGCAAGGAGGCGCTAACGACGTGGAGAGTCGGGGCCTGAGAGGGTGAGGGGGGCATCTAGCGGGGGCCCGCCTAGCATGGCATTCGGAGCCCAAACAGGGTGAGAATGGGGAGTCCAAGCCCTAGTGCGGTGAAAGGGACTTGCAGAGCCGGGGCAGTGACCCAGCATGAGGCATGGGAGCCTGGGGATGGTGAGGGAGGCAACACATGGGGTGGGGGTGGGGGGCAGTCATGGGAGCCTCGTTACCACGGCCGAGTGGATCAGATACTAAGATACATAGATGATAATAGGACCTAGGTTTCTACAGCTGGAGAAGCAAATATTCAAAAAGGAAGAACTAGAAGGGGCCTTTTTTCGCTGGGTTGGAGGTACGGATGTGAGCAGTCCTCACAGTTTTCAGTATACGGACAGAGGCCTGCATAGACATGTAAATGTGTGTAGACACGTCTTGCTCCTTCTATATATGAACAGGCGTATACGTGCAGATATGTATACGGATATGGATATAGATACACATGCCGACATTAGCCCTACCTTCTCAACGGAGAAGGCCTGGGAGCACTCACATCCTACCACCAATGAGCACAGCTAGTGCCCAGATTTTGGCTTCTAAACACCATGGTCCACTGTGCAAACCAGGGCTCCGTGGAGAAATGGCTGGTCCCAGGGCTTTCACAGGAAAGGGACAATTTGAGATGGAATGTCTTTTTGTACCGACAGACAAGGAAGTGTTTGAAGAATGATGGGGACATATGAAAGGGTACTTGAGCCAGCTTGAAGCATCCGCCTCTCTTAGTCCAATCTGGGAAAATTTGAGCATCCTAATAAAGACAGCAAGTAACAAAATAAGAACTCATGAATCTATACTTCTCTGTCTAAATAATGAATGATTGAAATGTTGATGAGGAAAAGGATATATACGTAATTTCAAAGCAACTTACCATAAAACATGAATAAATTACAAAGGGAAAGTGAGCAATTTATAATTACCGCCTGGCAGACATCCCCTTGCGCCATCCGTCAATGTGAACATTGTCCCAGTGGGATTAATAAAAATTTACTCTGTTTAATAAGGCGAGGTGACACTTTTGTCACATCCTTGACAAATCCGCATGACATGAATCTAACCATGAGGAAACATTGGACAAACTCAAATTAAGGTACCTGCCACAAAACAGCCTTCAAAAGCCTCCAGGTCACAGAAGTAAAGGAAAGACAGAGGACAGAGGGCCATCTTAGACTGAAGGAAATTAAAGATACATGACAGCAAAGTGGAATGTGATTCTGAACTGGATGGTTTCGCTATAAAGAACATTACTGAGACAACTGGAAATGTTTGAATGGAGTCTGAGGATTAGATACTAGAAATGTACCAATGTTAATTTTCTGACTCTGCCAGGTGTGTTGTATTTAGGGCGAAAATGTCCCTGGTTTTAGGAAGCACACATCACGGGGTGAGTGGGGTGTCCAGTGACAAATTCCTCTTAATGATTCAGGAAAAAAATATTTTTGTATTGCAATTCCAATCTTTCTATAAATGTGTGATTCAATAAATTAAATTTAAAAATAAATAAAAATTATTTTTTACTAAAACTGTCATCTATTTTTCTTTCGAACCATTTTTTTTTTCAGACTTGGTAATGGCCACTCACGGGCCTAAAGCTTAATTGTTAAACATTTCAGTCAGCACAAAGTGAACACGGAAGTTGTCCCAAGAAACCTAATGTCTTGCTTCAGCCAATATTTTCCTAGAGGAAACTTTAGTCCTAGAGGGAATAAAAACTTAAAGTAAAAAAAAAAAAAATTATTGGGCACCAGCGTGACTCAGTTGGTGGAGTGTCTGGCTCTTGGTTTTGGCTCAGGGCATGATCCCAGGGTCTTGGAATGAAGCCCTGTGTCGGGCTCCATGATAAGCATGGAGCCTGCTTGGATTCTCTCTCTCTCTCTCTCTCTCTCTCTCTCTCACTCTCTCTGAAAAATTGTTATTCAAGGGGTGTCTGGGTGGTTCAGTTGGTTAAACTTCCAACTTCGGCTCAGGTCATGATCTCATGGTTTGTGAGTTTGAACCCCGCATTGGGCTCTGTGCTGACGGCTCAGAGCCTGGAGCCTGCTTCGGATTCTGTGTCTCCTCTCTCTGTGGCTTCCCTGCTCATGCTCCATATCTCACCGTCTCTCAAAAATAAATAAACATTAAAAAAATTGTTATTGAAAATTAACAAAGCTATAGAAATTTAAATATTAAATTTTCAAATAAAGCTTCTTTGAAACTTGTGTGTAGCATTAATGCTTCTGAAGTTAAAACTTAGAAATGAACTTAGTCATTTGGAAAAGGCTCTTTATATACATGGATGTATATATGTATACGTACATACAAATGTATATATAACTATATATACATTTTCCTTTAATCTATGCTGCAGTAATACCTAGATTCTTTATCACCATTTCATATAATTAGAGATGGTATATTATAGAGCTATGTATGCTTAAGTATTACTATCTTGATTTAATAAAAACTCTGAGGGTGAATATACAGCTTCTTCTGTTACTTTCTTTGTTGTAGAAAATCAAACTAGATGAATAAAAACTCTGACTTGGACGCTGTAACACGACTTCAAAATTCCAAATGTCCTGGAGAGGCACAGAATGAAAACTAGAGACTTCTGTGCTACTTTAAAAATTAATATCGTTGAATCAGGGTGTTCAAAATAATAAATTGCGAGCTTTTTTTTAATAGAAATGTTTCCTATCTGAAC